TGAAATGTTTGCCTTTATTAGTGAGAATTTTGCTTTCCTATATTTTTCTTATATTTAGTTTTGGCCTTTTTCTCTTAAAGTTGTCCCTTTAACGTGTCTTGCAGTGCTGGTTAGGTAGTGACAAGTCCATTTAGCTTTTGCTAGTCTGGGAAACTCTTTTAGCTCTTCAGTTTTGAATGATAATTTTGCTTGATGGAGTATTCTTGCCTATAGGTTTTTTCTCTTTTATCATGTTCAATACATTGCGCCATTTCCTTTTGGCCTGTAAAGTTTCTGTTGGAAAATTAGTTCATAGTCTCTTGGAGAAGCCCTTGTATATAACTAGCTGCTTTTCTCTTGCTGCTTTCAAGATTCTCTTTATCATGAACTTTTGTCATTTTTTTAAAAGATTTTTAAAATTTATTTATCTTTAGAGGGGAAGGGAGGGAGAGAGGGAGAGAAATATCAATGTATGGTTGTCTTTCTTGCGTCCCCTGCTGGGAAATGGCCTGCAACCCAGGCATGTGCCCTGACTGGGAATTGAACCGTGATCCTCTGGTTCACAGGCCTACGCTCAATCCACTGAGCTACACCAGCCAGGGCTGTCATTTATATTGTGGTGTGTCTTGGTGTAAGCCTCTGTGAGTTCATCTTGTTTGGGACTCTGTGCTTCCTGGACTTGGATGTCTGTTTACTTAACCAGATCAGTGAAGTTTTCAGCCTTCGTATCTTCAAATAGGTTTTCTGCCCCTTTCTCTCTTTTCTCCTTGTGGTGCCCCTGTGATTAGAATGTTGGTATGCTTGATGTTGTCCTTTAAATGATCTCTATTTTTTAAAGTTCTCTTTTCTTTGTGCTATTTTGATTGAGTGATTTTCACTAACTTGTCTTTCACCTCCCTGACTTGTTGTTCTGCATTAGGTAATGTGCTGTTGATTCCTTCTAGTATATTTTTATTACAGTTACTGTATTGAGTTGTGATTGTTTTGTCTGTTTGTCTGCCGAATTCACCAAGCATCCTTATAACCAGTGTTTTGAACTCTTCTATTTTATTGGTTGCTTGTCTCTGGTTCATTTAGTTGTTTTCTGGGGTTTTATCTTGATTTTTCATGTGGAACATATTTCTGTATCACCTTATTTTGCTGTCTCTCTGAGTTTATTTCTGTGAATTAGGCAAAGCAGCAACCTCTCCTGTTCTCAAAGTAGTGGCCTGTGTAAGAGCTTCCCCTTCGCAGACCTTGTGAGCTGGGTGCCTTTCCGCAGGCCGGCTAGACTTGGAGCCGGCTGCAGAGAACTGCTGCAAGCTGCCATGGCTGCCATGGTGGGGCTGCAGTGGGGCCACCTTGGCAGGCTGAGTGGAGCTACAGTTGTGGCAGGCACAGGCTGTAGGAAGTTCCAAGGACAAGCCACACACTGGGGTTTCCTTGGCAGGCCAGTTGGAGTGGGCTCAAGCCAAGGGGAGTCCTGGGCACAAGCTGCACTGGGGCTTGCAGCTGGATCTGAAGTGGTGGGCTTTGCAGGAAGTCCTAGGTACAAGTGGCACCAGACCGGGAGCTATAATGAGGGTAGGTTAGAGCCTGGGATGTCCCTGGGCAAGCCACTATAGGGATACCTTGGCAGATGGGCTGGGAGCTGGAGCTGGAGAAGGCTGTCATAAGGTAGGTAAGGCATATCAGGGCCCCGGGCTGTAGTTGGAATGGGCATAGGGCTAAGGGGAGTTCTTGGGACAAGCCTAGCCAGCATCCCAAGCTTTGATTGGAAAGGGTACAGTTTGTGGGTAGTCTGAGGGACAATCCAAGGAGCAGGTATGAGCCTCGGGCCTGGTGTGCTGTCTGATAGCCTTGGCCAACTGGCTAGAATACCTGGATCATGTTCCGGCCTTTGAGTTTAAGGTTAAAGGGGATCACAACAATTGGTGCTCCCTGTACTTCCCGCAATGGAAGAGTGTCTGCAGCCCCCCTCCTGGTTGATTAATGCACTAGGGTTGTTAAATGAACTTCTCCCCTTATAGTCTAGGTGCCCTTTATACCATTCTTGTGTCACTATGCCCCCGGGCAGGAGAGTAGGCGGTCCCTCCCTCCTGCAGGAGGTGGACTGGGAGTAGGGTTTCCACTATACCTTGTCAGAGTTCCCCCTACCCCTTTCTGTGTGGTCTCTCTTTCTCATTTGCTGTGTAGAAGCTGTTCAGTTGCCCGCACTTCTTGAGAGGAAGTTGCTTTGTAGTTGTAAATACAATGTGTTTATGGGAGGAGGTATGTTCGTTGTCCTTCTATGCTGCCATCTTGGACAGAATTTGTAGCCAGTTTTTAAAATATGGCTTTGGGACCCTGGCTGGTGTGGCTCAGTGGAGTGAATTGAGCCCTGGCCTGAGAACCAAAGTGTCTCCAGTTCAATTCCCAGTCAGGGTACATGCCTGGGTCTCAGGCTAGGTCCCCAGGAGGGGGTGCAAGAGGCAACCACACTTTGATGTTTCTCCACCTCTTTCTCCCTCTCTTCCCCTCTGCCTAAAAATAAATAAGTAAGTAAATAAATTAATTAATTAAATAAGTAAATTTTAAGAATGGTTTTGGGAAAGTGGTGCTATATTTTGCTGTGTATAATTTTTGAGGGAAAAGTAAGGTTGTGCATTATACATGGACATAATTGATTACATACCATGGGTATAGTAATCCTGTGTGTAATGCTCAGGAAACCATGGGTGCACGTTTTACATGGGAGCACATTTTACACAATAAAATATAGTGTGTAGCATATATGTTTTCATTATATAGGAAATAGTTTTAGAATATATATTACACTATATGCTTTAAAGTACTTTAACAATTCAAATGTATTATCAGTACAATATATTGATATGCCTTAATATTTTTATTCCTTATAGTCAGATATAAGAATGAATATTAATTTATTTGACTTTTTTCTAGACATTTAAAAAATCCTGGCTTTGCCACTTAGTCGCTGCGTAGACTTGGGCATGCCTGCATTTCCTCCGCTATCAGATGGTCTAATAGTATTACCTACTTTCTAGAATTATAAATGAGTGTCAAATAACTTAAATATTAAATGAGCTAGTATATGTAAAGTACTAACAGTATTGCCTGGCATGTAGATGCTATATAAGATTGAGTTGTTACTACTTTTCTAGAAAATGAAATAAAAAGAAATGAGATGAGAATATTGGGAAGTTGGAACATTTGTAGATTTTACGTTTGTTTACCTAGAGCATATAAGAGAATCACCTGAAAAGTTCTTAGAACCAGGAAACATGTAATAGTGGGAGGGTAACTGTGAGACATTTATATCAATCATAAGCTTTACTAGCAGTAACTAGTTATATCATCAGAAAAACTCCCATATATAAGTACCTAAAAAAAATTAAAAGTACAATAGTCCCACCTTATCCACAGTCATTTTCTGTGGTTCCAGTTACCCATGGTCAATTGCAGTTCAAAAATATTAAATGGAAAATTCCAGAAATAAGTACCTCATAACTTTTACATTGCACACTCTTCTCAGGGGTATGGTGAAATCTCTTGAATCATCCCTTTGTCCATTGTATCCGCCCTGTATACACTACACGCCCACCAGTCACTTAGTGGCTGTCTCACTTATCAGATCAACCGTTGCAATATCCCAGTGCTTTTGTTCAGGCAGCCATTGTTTTAATAAAGGCCCTAAATGCAACAGGTAGTGGTGCTGGCAACTCACATATGCCAAAGAAAAGCTGTAAAGGGCTTCCTTTAAGTGAAAAGGTATGTATGTATAGGAAATAACACAGTATATATGAGGTTTGATACTATCCACGGTTTCAGGTATTCACTGGGGGTCTTGGAATATACTCATCATAGATAAGTTGGGACTACTGTAATATTAGGGACTTAAATGATTTGAACTTAATTCTAATTTAAATCTTATGCTCTTCTGGAAGTGTTAATGAGCAAGAGATTCCCGGAACATTTTGAGAACAAAGTTTAGTGAGGGAGTACTTATCATATTATTCAGTGTTGCAATATGTTATAAACCTGTATGAATTAAAATGGCTTGGTACTGGTGCAGCAAATTATAGAGAAATCAGTGACACAAATGAAGATCTAGAAACCCAAGTATGTGTAAAAAAAGTATGTGATACAATAAAGGTGGTGTTTTTCTAATCAACAAAAAGAGAAGGATTAAATTATTTGTTAAATGGTTTGGGGACAATTGGTAGATATTTTGGCAAGAAAAGTTAGATCATAAACATTATATTACATTATATACCAAAGTAAATTATATTACATTATATACCAAAATAAATTCCAGGGAAATTGAGAATTTTAATGTAAAAAATGAAATTATATGTAATACTAACAGACAATAGACGATTAAAAGGAGAAAAAATTTCTAATCATATACTAAAAGCAGGAACTATATAGTATATGATTCATCAATTGAGTTACATAAAAACAAAGAATTTCTGTGCATTAAATACATAAATAATATTAAGGAAATAATCCATGATAAATATTTGTGACATGAGAGACAAAGAGTCTTATAAATCTAAATGAAGCATTTATATTAAGCAAAATATATTAAGAAGTAAAAGTAGTATTTTCTGTGTTTGGGGGAATAAAGATCTATGAATAGAAATCAGACTGGAGGATGTATTCTGCAATTGTTATTAGTAGTTTTTCTATTAATACGTGGTTTTATCTTTTTTTCTTTTCCGTATTTTGTAAACTTTCAACAAAGGGTATAAATTGCATAATTAAAAATAACATTTAAATAAATTGCTGTATTTTGAAAAATATTACTTGATGTCTAACTTTCTGAATAAAGGGATGGCAACTAGGTTTTATCTTTTCATAAGCCTCGGAACAGTGGAATCCTTCAGGATAATTAAACTTAGAATTGTAGTTCATGAGCACAAAATATAGACAAATTCAGAAAGAGTTTATTTTCATGCTTTTTATTTTTGTTTGCTGTTCTAAGGAGATTTGTTGGACAGTAAATAGCACTTTCTTGGTTTATTTTGTTTTGGTTGCAGACTAGAAGCTGCCAAAGATGATTATCGGATTCGCTGTGAAGAGTTAGAAAAGGAAGTCTCTGAACTTCGGCAGCAGAATGATGAGCTAACCACTCTGGCAGATGACGCTCAGTCTCTGAAAGATGAAATAGATGTTCTTAGGTAAACAATCTTACCGTCTTCACAGAATCTCAGACTCCTCATCACCAGCTCTCTGAGCACAGCAGGGTGTTGAAGAGCCAGACCGCCTGGACCTAGACCTCTGCTATCATTTATTTAACTCCCATGTAACCACATCCTTGTGTGTGAAGTAGAACTGATACACACACCTACCTCAGGTTTATATGTGGAATTACATACGTTTATGTTTGTAGACACTGGGAACAGTGTCTGGCAAATAAGTGCTGTGTAAATATTTGTCAAGTAAGTTACTCTCTGACCATCACTTCCTACTTGTTCTAGCTCTGGAGCTGTTCTTACTACTACTCTTTTTCTTTCATTTTCCCTCCTGCAATCACTTGGTCTTCCTTTTTCTCAGATAATGTCGTGCTTGATGAGGCTTCTTGTCCTTGCTGGACCTTTTTATCTTCACCTCAAATAGTCTCTCACTAGGTACCTCACTGCCTGCCACCTCATTTTTCCACCTGTCCAGTTCTAGTATAATTTGTCCTCTCTTGGCTCATTCCAACCATCTATGTTTTACACTTTTGCTCTTTAAATACTGAGAACAGACAAATTCACATAGTGATACACTTTTGTCCTACTACAAATTAATGAACTTTACTCTTCTTCACTGGGTTCTTACCCCTGGCCCACCATTCTGCTGCTCACCGGTAGGCAGCTCTGTCTCCCATTTTCCCCATAGCTATGACGTGTTTCCGTAACTCTTCTCACCTGCATGCCCACCCCACCCCGGCCCTCCCGTGCCTTGGCCTCAGTAGGTGACGTTGTCTCCTGCTGCGTGGAGGGAAGAGGCCGGAACTGCGGGCGTTCTGTGTCCTTTATCTCCTGCACTTCCTAACTGCCCTACATTCCCACTAATCTTCTCTTTCTGCTTCTGAAATATAGACTTGTTTTCCTTCCTCCTGTGCAGGACTAACTTCTTCTGTGCTCTGGGTCTTGATGCTTCTCACGTACACAGCAACAGACTGTGTGACAATCAGTTACCATCTCTCTTCACATTGGAATCTTCCTTCTTGGCATGTATTTACATTTAGGTCTCTCTCATCTTAGAAAAAGAGAGAAACTTATTACTCTGTCCTTCTTTCCAGAACAAATTTAGATTATACAGAGTGAAGTTGATGTTCTCCCCTTAATCTCCTAAAAGTTGCCTTTACCTGCCCTAACTACGCCACTGAAACAGCTGTTCTGGGGCCACTAATAACGATCTGATTGCCAAGTCCTTTGGACACTGCACGATTGGTTCTGCCTTTGCTTCACTACATGTGTCTCTGCTGGCTGCTTCTCCAACCCACCCCACACGGACTTGCTTTCCTTAAATTATATAACATTTGTCATGACAGTTTTTGCTGTAATTTGGCTATATTTTTTAACTAGAGCAAAATATTAACCTGGAATAATCTTTGGTCTTACAATTTCATTAGAACGTGTTATTATCTGGCAATCCCTCTTGGTTTATTTAGCACTGTCTATAACAGCTTTATAACTGTAGATGTATTTCTGATTTCTGATTTTCCATCTTACTCTAGACATTCTTCTGATAAAGTGTCTAAACTAGAAGGCCAAGTGGAATCATATAAAAAGAAGCTAGAAGACCTTGGTGATTTGAGGCGGCAGGTTAAACTCTTAGAAGAGAAGAATACTATGTACATGCAGAACACTGTCAGTCTAGAGGAAGAGTTAAGAAAAGCCAATGCAGCTCGAAGCCAACTTGAGACATATAAGAGACAGGTAAAAAAATAGTAATGAAGTTTCCAAATGACACTTTCAAGCATGTTCTCCATTATAACACTATGGCTTATCAAAAATCTGCTGACTTTGGTTTTTATGGTACTCTGACTTTTACCTGTGAAACTTAGTTCTTCTGCAGAGCTTACTATTGGGACTCTGTGGCAGATCCTTTTATTGCTTTTAACTTTTTATTTTATTGCATGATACTTAAGAAATACACAAAAGGAAAAGAAAATATGTGACCATGCTTAAAAAAATAAAACATACTCTTCCCCTCATTATAGTAACCACTGTGCCGTTCATGGTTTTCATTACCATGCATCTCTCTTTTCCAACCATTTTCTTCCCGTGGCACACATAAACTAATTACTAGAATTCTGCAGCATCCCAAAAAACATACTACATTTTTTTGCCTATCTAACCAAAAAAAATGGTATAATTTTGATTCATTCACTCTGGATGGCTATCATTATGTTGGCTGTTGTCATTTTTTATTTGAGAATCTAAGGCAGGGCAGTCAAATTCACTTTCACTGGGGGCCACAATCAGCCTCGCAGTTGCCTTCAAAGGGCTGAATGTAATTTTGGGACAGTATAAATGTAACTACTCCTTAATGGTTAAGCGAGAGCTGGGCACTGCCGCTGGGTAGAAACAAGGTGCCAGGCTGGATAAAACAAAGTGGAGGGCCTCGTGTTTGCAACCCGTGCCTGCGTAGTCAGGTATTGCATATTTTAAATTTTTTGAGGTGCACCAGTTAAAAATCACTGCTTGATTCTTTTGCTGCAATGTATATTTATTAATATTTATGCATATAAAATTTATAGCATATTGACATGTTTAAAATCTATACAGGGTTAGGCAGAAGTAGGTTTACAGTTATGAGTACACAAAACAGTTTATTCTTGTATTATTAATTATTGTGTTTTCTGTATGAACAACTGTAAACCTACCTTTGCTCCACTCTGTGTACGTGATAAACTGAAAGAACTCTCTCCTACAGTTTACTTTTGCTCAGTAGTGTATTTGTGAGATTTATTTATGTTGATAGGTATATAATTTTATTCCATTCATTGGTACTGCTGTATAGTATCTTATTAAAAGATTATACCACAAGTTACTGATTTTTCTGTGGAAGGACAGATAAGATGTTCCAACTTTTTATTTTACATTACAAGAAATGCCACTTTGAATAAATAATAGTATTGAACATTACCTCTTCTGTACATGTGTGAAAGTTTAGCCATATGGAATTTCTTAGAATATGTTCATTTAATTAGGTATTGTTAAATTATTCTCCAAAGTGATTAATGTGGGGGATAATTGAAATACTTTTGACTATAATATTTCTATCAATAAATACATCTTTCTGTTTATTAGTTCTTCAATATCCTTCAATTAAGTTTTATACTTTTCTTCCAAATATTATGCACACATTTTATGTATTTGGTCTTTGTAAATGCAATTAGCAAAAGAAAGGATACCATTTTCAGTTTATTGCTCATTTATCTGATTGATACTGATTTTTATACACTGATTTTGCAACCTTAACCAAATTCTCATATTCTAATAATGTCTACTGAATCTTTTGGTTAAGTGACATACAAATAAAAAGCAATTTTATTTCTTGTTTTCTTCTGTATTCTCTTTTTCTTTTCAATCAGCAGGTCTGACCTTCAATAAAATTTTAAAATAGAAGCAAAAATAGGCCCTGGTTGCTGTGGCTCAGTGGACTGAGTGCCAGCCTGAGAATCAAAGGGTCGCTGGTTGGATTCCCAGTCAGGGCACATGCTTGGGTTGTGGGCCAGGTCCCCAGGAGGGGTGCGCAAGAAGCAACCACACATTGATGTTTCTCTCTCTTTCTCCCTCCCTTCATCTCTCTCTAAAAATAAATCAAATAAAAAAAGCAAAAATAGTAAACAACCACTTTTTGTTGATTTTATGTTTTACCAGTGTAAGGATTGTTATAGTTTTTTGTAGCCACCTTTTACCAGAATAAAGAAATTACATTTGCTTAGGGTGTGTATCTTAAGAGTGAGACTGGTTGCCTCTCACATGCGCCCAACTTGGGACCTGGCCCTTGAACCGGCAACCTTTTGGTTCAGAGGCTGGCGCTGAGTCCACTGAGCCATACCAGCCAGGGCTTAAATGGGTGTTGAATTTAATCAACTACTTTTCCTGCTTTTTAAAGGATTTTTAAACTTTATCACCTATTGAGAGACTCCTGTTGTGTAGATTTTCTATGTTTAAACCATCTTTGCATTCCTGAGATAAACTTGACTTGGTCACTGTGGGTTTATTTGTTATTTTTACATTGTTAGATCTACTTTGTTAATTTTACTTGCAACATTTTGCCTTGAAGTTTTCTATTTAATACTTTCCTTACCTGGTTTTGCATCAGAATTATAGTAGCTTAATAAAATAAGTTGGGGAAGTTTTAATAGATCAGCCTTGACAGGGTTTGGTGGGTACATTTTATCCCCAACACTTGATTATGAAATTTTTAACATATAACAAGGTTGAAAGAATTAATTAACTTGATTGAGAATTGAGAAATAGCCCAAAATAAATGTAGATGAAGGAAATTATAAATGAGATGAAAAGGTGTTAAATCAAAAGGAGAAATGATCTAATTAGAGTCCAGAGGAGAGAACAGGAATTGTAGAAAGACATTATTTGAAGGAAAAGATGCCTAAAATTTTTTCAGAATAGAGGACATCAGATTTAGTATTAACAGTGAATAACAGAGTAAATAAAAAGATACATTCACCTAGAAATATTGTAGTGAAATCAAAAGTACACTAATTCTCTGATTCTGATCTGAAGCTTAATATATTTTATCTTTCAGTGGTAATATTTTTCCTTCTTCCAGTTCTCTTTGGGTACACTTTCAGACCAGCCTGATGACTTTTTTTTTTTAAAGATTTTATTTATTTATCTTTAGAGGGGAAAGGAAGGAGAGAGGGAGAGAAATATCAATGTGTGGTTGCCTCTCGTGTGTCCCCTACTGGGAACTGGCCTGCAACCCAGGCATGTGCCCTGACTTGGAATCGAACCGTGATTCTTTGGTTCTCAGGCCAGTGATCAATCCACTGAGCTACACCAGCCACGGTGCTGATGACTCTTAATGGTCTCTTATTCCTTTCATAATTTAGGTTTCCTTTATTTATGTTTAAAGTATTGAATTGAGCATTTTATATTTGCTAGTTATAATCTGAAATTCTTGGAGGCCTTATTCTACTGTTTTGTTGTTGTTATTGCTGTTAATGTTTTTCTGCTGACCATCGTTCATAGTGGCTTATGGTTTTTTTTTTTTTGGTCTTTGTTATTTTGTCTGGTTCATCTTTATCTTGGGGAATAGCGGTGGGCCTGGGTGGAGGCGGCATTCCTCCAGACGATGTGTGTTTTGCTTATGCCAGACTGTCCGCAGCATTTAACAACCAGGACTATTTTATTTTAAAAAATCAGTTTTATAAATCTTCACTCAAGGATATGTATATTGATTTTAGAGAGAGGAAGGGAAAGAGAGAGAAACATCAATAGGTTTAGTTGTCTCCCATACACACTCTGACTAGAGATTGAACCTGCAACCAGGTATGTGCTGTGACAGGGAATCAAACCCACAGCCCTTTGGTGTGTGGGATGACGTTCCAACCAACTGAGCCACCCAGCCAGGGCAAGTTTTTAAAGTTAATTGCTTGTTTAGCATTGACAGACAAGGCATGTATGTGGCAAAATTTTAAACACAAATTCATGTGTTAACAGGTCATAAATATAAATTTTCAGATTATACTTTTTTAAATCCAGTGCATCCACATTAAGAAAGCCAGTTTTCCTTACTGAATTTTCCAGCGGGTGGATTCCCAGTTTGCCCATCACCTGTTTACTCATCATCTTTTAGAGCCCAAGGTGGTTTAACAATCACCTGTCTCCCCTTAAATCTAAAGCTCTGGGTTCCTGCTTTTGGCAATTTGCATCTCTGGTTTTCCACATGTGCTTACCACTCCAGTTAGCGAGTGGGGATTTCATTTACTTTCTTGTTAGCTTACCTACATAATTGGATTTTTTTTCCTAGCGTTTCTTTTGCTTTATGCTTAAAGGATTTCAGACTATACAGTTAACTGTATTATAGGAAATGGAAGAACCTTATGTTTTTTTCATCATTGTGAACATTGTTACTCTAGATGATCTGGTTTTAGAACTCATAGCACCAGTTTTTTGTGCGGGGAGCCCTGGCTGGGTGGTTCAGTGATTGAAGTGTCCTCCACTGGACCAAACGGTTGCAGGTTCCATCCCCAGTCAGGGCACGCACCTAGTTGTGGGTTTGATCCCTGGTCAGGTGCATATGGGAGGCAACTGATCAGTGTTTTCTTTCACTTCTGTGTCTCTCTGTCTGTCTCTCTCTCTCTCTCTCTGTTTCTCTCAATCTCCCCTTCTCTCTCCCCTTCTCTTTTCTTCTCTCCCCTTCTCTCTCTCTCCTTCTCTCCCCTCCCTCCCTCTCCCTCCTTTTCTCCCTCCTGTATTTCCTCTTACTTTCAAATCAATAAACATATCCTCAGGGATTTAGAAGAAAATAATGATAATTTCAAATGTCTCAAATTATAAAATTAATGGTACCTTTCTGTATCAGGTAGTAGAACTGCAAAATAGATTATCTGAAGAATCGAAGAAAGCAGATAAATTAGATTTTGAATATAAGCGGCTAAAAGAAAAAGTTGACACTCTTCAAAAAGAAAAGGATGTGAGTATATATTAGGCATTTTGGTTTTGAGCACTACAAAAATTAAGGCTGACATTTAATTCTTGTTTTGACTATATTAATTCCAGCTATTTATAAGTTTAAAAATTAGAGATCCTATTTATTTTCAAATTTAAATTGAAGATTTGCATTTGTATTTTAGAAATACATCTAAAATAAAAGATTAAAAGAATGTTTTTACTTCCATCCTAATTTCTTTTATATATATTTATGGTTCCGTCACCATTGCTTCTTTTACATTGTTTTGCTCATGACTTTTTGTAAATTTATGTATATTTTCTGTATGATTATTATAGAATAATTCTTTTTGTTGTTGTCAGCATATTTTGAGTCTTTTAAACATATTTTCTTTTTCATGACTTTAAATATTTAAATTCTTTGATTTTTTTGTGTTTAATGAAAAGGGTATATGTACATAGTTAGTTACTTATTATTAAGGGTCATAGAGATGGTTGTGTTTCTTACATTCAACTGTGGGTAGCATATTGCTTGCATACTGTAGATATTCAGTATTGTTAAATGGGAAAAATTGTAATCTTTCACCTTCTATGATCTTTTCATAAAGTTCAAAACATCTATGTCTCCTGCTGTTTATCATTTTAGTAGGTAAAGCAAAGACCACTAATGAATAAACTCACAAAACTTGCAGCTAACTTCCCTTGTTTTTAATCTCTCCAGAGGCTGAGAACGGAAAGGGATTCTCTGAAGGAAACCATTGAAGAGCTGCGCTGTGTGCAGGCTCAAGAGGGGCAGCTCACAACTCAAGGTGAGCGTATTTCAGTAGCCCCAGCAAGATGATTTATTTCTAGTTGTATCAGTATAAATGTTAGAGTCATTTTAAGATAATTGGACTAATACATGAAAATGAAAAAAAGATGAAGAGGCCATGAAATTAAAACAGATTTCAGACCATTACCCAGATATCGTGGCCAATACCCAGTCTGATTTCAGACCAATACCCAGTCAGTAGTTAGGGGATCGAATTTACTTGCCTACTTTATATTTTAGTTGTATTTAAATATTTGATTTTATTAGGTCAAAGTATAAACATTTCTTTAATCATCTCTTAATAATAAACCTGGAAATTTTATTCTAGAAAGTTTCTCATAGCCTCTTAAAAACACATCAGACTTTCTAAATTGGTGATTTTTTTTCAACTGGTATGTGGAGTTGGTATCAATTTATTAAGGAACATTTATCCAAAGAGAAAAGTGTCCTTCTCACCGGGAATCATCTAAGACCTAATACTGTTAAGGTGATAGCACTACCAAAAGCGGTCTGTGGACTCAGTGCAATCCTTGTTCAAATACCAACAGCATTTTGTTCAGATACAGAAAAACCCACCCTAAAATTCATATGGAATCTCGAGGATCCCCAAATAACCAACACAATCTTGAAAAAGAAGAAAAAGTTGTAAGACTCACACTTCCTAATTTCAATAGTTTAAAGTGGATAATCAAAACAGTGTACTATAGTCATAAGGAAGACATATGTAGACCAGTGAAACAGAGAAGAGTCCTGAAAAATAAATCCTCACACATGTGGTCAGTTGTTAACAAGGTCATCAAGATCATTCAGTGGAGCAAAGGAAAGTCGTTTCAACAAATTGTGCTGGAAAAACTGGAACCACACCCAAAACCATGAAGTTGGACCCTCACACCGTATAAAAATCTAACTCAAAATGGGTCAAAGACCTAAATGTGAGGGCTGAAACTGGAGAGCTTTTAGAAGAAAACAAGAGGAATATCATCGTGACATTGGATTCAGCAGTGATCCCTTGGAACTGTTAATTCTGATGAAGCCCAATTTATCTCTTTTATCTTTTGTTGCCTAGTGCTTTGGCAACAAAAGAAAAAGAGATAAATTGGGCTTCATCAAAATTAAAAACTTTGGTGCATCAAAGGACACTATCAACAGAGTGAAAAGTCAACCCACAAAATGGAAGAAACTATTTGCCAATCATATAACTAACAAGTAGTTGGTATCCAGAATATCTAAAGAGCTTCTAGAGGTCACAACAACAAAAAGCAACTCAGTTTAGAAGTGGGCTTAGGTATTGAATAGACCTTTTTTCAGAGATATACATATAGCCAATAAGCACATGAAAAGACGCTCAGTATCATTGAGCTCAATGATAGATGAAAAGATGCTTAATATCATTTCTCTCTAGTCATTAGAGAAATGGAAGTCAAACCACAATGAGATGCTACTTTACACTCACTTGGTTGGCTGTTACCAAACAGGAAAATAACACGTGTTAGGGAGGATGTGGAGAAACTGGAAACCTCTTGCATTGCTGATGGTAATATAAAAGAGGGCAGCCACTGTGGAAGAATTTGGTGGTTTTTCAAAAAGTTAAAACATCATATCACCATAGGATTTAGCAATTCCATTTTTAAGTATATACCCAAAAGAATTCAAAGCAAGTACTCCACCAGATACTGGTATGCCAATATTCATAGCAGCATTATTCACAATAGCCAAAAGATAGAAATAACCCATGTGTCTCAACAGCTGAATGCACAAAGAAAATGTGCTGTACACAAACAATGGACTATTACTCAGCTATAAAAAGGAATGGAGTTCTGATAAATACTACATAGATGAATTTTTAAAACACCATGTTAAGGGAAATAAGCCAGATACAAAAGGACCGATACTGGTGTGATTCCACTCTATGAGATATCTAGAACGTGCTTCATTGAGGCAGAAAGTAAAAGCTTCTGAGGAGAGTAAAGGATAAAGGAATGGGAGTTACTGCTTAACGGTTACAGAATTTATGTTTTGGGTGATGGTTCTACAACATAGTGAAGGTACTTACTGTCATTCAGTTGTACACCTGAAAATTGTTAACAGTGATATTATAATAATTTAAGGCAATGCTGACATGATCTTTTACATGACCAAAACAAAAATTTTAGCTGTTAAAATTAATGCTCAAAGTAGGAGTTCATATGGAAACTAAAGGAACTAGTTGTGCCCTCTCTTACCTTTACATTCATGTTTATGTATTTATAGGGTTAATGCCTCTGGGAAGTCAGGAATCTTCAGACAGTCTGGCAGCAGAGATTGTTACACCTGAAATCAGGTAAGCAGGTCATAAAGTTTACACTCACACTGCACTGTATTTCTGGAGAAAACAGACTCTTCCTCAATACCAAGACGATCATTTCCTCTTTTTTTTTTTAACTAACACTTTCAGCATGAACTCAGTAGTGAATGTTTCTGATTTTACATGTTAGATGCTTTTTTCAACTGGCCCAAGAGACTTCATCTTCTTATTTTAGTAGGACAGTGTTTTGCATACACGTACAAACTGGTACCTCTGCCGGGCACCTTTAGCAAACAGTTAGCAATAAAACCAGTTGACCCCAAAACAAAGGTTATATTTAGCCATCAACCTACAAAATAATTAGTTACTAACACTAATTTTTTTTAATGATGTAGAAGGACCTGGGAAAAATAAAATGCAGTAGACAGGAGGAAATAGCCCTCCAACCTCTACAACTCTCCCTTCAGTACTACCTGACAGTTTTATTTAGTCATAGCATTTTTAAAATTCCATCTGTTTCAATATGTGTGTGGCTTCATGTGTAAGAATAAAAGGTTGGTGGAGAGGCACCAGATATTCAAGAGAAGAACAATGCTGAATCTGAATATTGCTTTTACCTTCTTCTAACTTATTTTCCCACTTTTTAAATTGACGCTGGCCTTAATTCTTTATAATTTCCTTGGGGTTATTAAATACTATAATGATTGTTAAAGAGTTTTATAAACTGACTTACAATAAGCATTCAAATACTTGCAGAATAGAGGAAGACACTCTTAATTGATTGTTGTTGGCAATTATTTGAGACGGACAAAGGGAGTGTAATGTAGCACTGGCTGTGGAAGCATTTTGTATGCCTTTGTCTTTTCTGCCATCTGACGTGGTATTTTTATTGGACCAACAAGATGTGTTGAATGAACAATTATTACTTATGAATATTCATAAATAAATTGTTATGCCCCAAACACAATTTTTAAGGAAGCTTGCAATTATTGCAGTTGGATTTTTAAACTGAGAAACAATGATAAAGATTCAACAAATAAGATGGCTTTTTTTAGTATAACTCAATGCAAATTTAAAACATACTCTGTCTAGAAGAGCTATCAAAATAATGAAATGGTAAAATGGATGAAAATTTACAAAATGTTATAGATAGTGGGCTAATAGGTTTAATACATAATAAAATGTACCTATCAGATTTGCAAAAACTATTGTGATACTTTGCACTGATGTTAGGATGTGGAGAAATTGGAAACTCAAACAAGCAGTAACTGTAAAGTGCAACTTTTTAAAAGTTAATTATTTAATAATTGATATATAATTGACATATTAGTTGTATTGGTTTTAGATATGCAACATAATGATGTGATATATGTATATGAGGTCTGTCCGGAAAAAGTCCAGCTATTGTTAATATAATGAGAACCTGGCAGCCAAGGTGAGTGGACCGGAATGCACATGCGTGAACAATAACACTTCACTGTACTGGTCAGTGGGGGCAGTAGATACCCTTGAGTGAGCATGTGCACTGTGTGGCTGCCTCATTCAAAATGACTGAATGAGTAGAGCAATGAATCTGCATCAAATTTTGCATTAAACTTGAACATTCCTGTGTGGAAACTATTCAGGTGATCCAGAAGGCTACAGCTATGGGCAGCTGGTGATTGGCAGCTTTATCACCACAATGTACCTACTTGTACATCACATCCTGTGCAGTCTTTTTGCAAAACATCAAATCACCCTTGTGACTCAGTACCCTTACAGCACAGATGTGTCACCCTGGTGACTTCTGGCTTTTCCCAAAACTAAAATCACCTTTGAAAGGAAAGAGATTTCAGACCATCAGTGAGATTTAGGAAAATACAACAGCTGATGGTGATTGGGAGAACTGTGTGAGGTCCCAAGCCTACTTTGAAGGGACTGGGATGTCATTGTCCTGTGTACAATGTTTCTTTATATTTTACCTTCAGTAAATGTCTCTATTTTTCATATGGCTAGATACCTTTTGGACAGACCTCATATATTGTGAAATAACTGCCACAATCAGTTTAGTTAAGATCCATCACTATGCATAATTACAAAATTATTTTTCCTGTGGTGGTACCACTTTTTTTTTTTTGGCATATTGACAAAAAGTTTATATTGTCTAAATATGCCTATCTTTTGACCCAGAAATTACTTCTTTGGGAATTAATTCCAAAGAAATAACCGAGGATATACACAAAGGTGTATGTATAAAGCTGATTATTATTAGCATGTTAAATGTCAAAATTGGGAACAACCTAAATGCCCAGTAATTGGGTATTGATTAAATAAATAATGATTCATATATGTATTTTAACATGACAATTAAAATATTTAAGCGTATTTCTATTTTACATGGAAAGATTGTGAAAATTTAAGTGTAAACAGCAGATATCAATGAAACACCATCCATTTCTTTAAACTTTTCATGGGTGTAGGTGCACATAGAATCAGGAGGCTGTGTTTCAGCCAGAATAGTTCTGCACCATAGGGTCACAGAGAGTCTCTGTTTTTTCCTCCCCTCCCCCTGCAATGGGTGTGTTCACTGGTCAGTCAATCGGTGTCAACGTCATTGTTGTCTGTACAGAGAACAGAGCGAGTTCTGCGTGATTGCTGGAGTTGGGCCAGATATATCTACCAGCAGGGGTAACATTGCTTTATAAGACTTACAGTGTTTACAAAATAAGAGCAGACTGTTTTGCGTATGTGTTTATTTTGTTTTTGTGTTTTCTTTTTCCATGAGAAACACAGCTTTTCATAGTATCTGGTATGAGTATCATCGTAGGGCCCTCTAAAGAGGACCCTGTGTAAACTAAATAGTGACTTATATTTTCAAGAAGTAGATCTTTGGTTGTATCTCCATATGAATTAATACTCAGTTACATTGTCACTGCAGTAAATGTAGCAGCAAGTTTTATGTGGCTGTTTCTTTTAACATCCCTCAATGGAAACTGATCCCTCAAAGGCATAACACAAGGAACCCAAAGCAACACAGTCCAGTAACTTGGCTCTGATGATAATTTGGTTTGTTGCAAAAAATACAATTGTACGTATCTATAGAAATGGATGGACTGCATGTCTTGAAGGCATTCCTCCTTGGGTATTATATCTTGCCACCAAACGATTAATAAGTTAAGTCTGACATTCAAGATCATTTTTATAAGAACTGAAGAACAAATGTATAAATGCATTCATAGCTTAAATATGTATATTAGAAAGGAAATAGGCTTTTAAAATCTTTTTCATTACAAATCATGATATTTGGAGAGTTGTCTTCACATTATCCATTCTAAAAAAGAAAGTACTTAAGACTTGAAATGTAATGTCTTAGCCAGTTACAACAGAACCTACATTCTTTGCAGGTACTTTGTTTTTAATTCCTGCTCTATGAAATAAATGTGCAACTATGCATAGTTGGGTTTAGATAACTATATTGTATTAATGCACCCGATAATAGTTTTATTTTGCTTATTTAGGGAGAAACTTATTCGTCTTCAGCATGAGAATAAGATGTTAAAACTGAACCAGGAGGGTTCAGACAATGAAAAAATTGCCTTATTGCAGAGCCTGCTGGATGATGCAAACCTGCGCAAGAATGAACTGGAGACAGAGAATAGGTAGGAATGTGTGTAGGCAGCGGCATTTAGCCACAGGCATTCTCTCCTTGTCTTGATTTTGATTTCCTTGAAGACATGAATTGTATTTTGAGAAGCTATGCGTTATTCTATTTCTTTGTAAGGGTACTTTAATTTATTTCTCCATTTATGGGCAGGCTTGCCAAAAGTACTGTGCCTCCTTATAATAGTATTTCCCTCTATATTTCTTCAGGCAAAGTGATACCAAAGCCCGGCCATTTTCTCTTCCTAATCATGAATTAAAGCTACTTCAAACTTTAACACTTTCATCATTATGTTTCTTCTTCCCCATTACTTGGATTTTTAGTTGCTTTCAAGTCTTACCAGAGAACATCTTGGTGTGGACTAATTGATTATGTTTTATGACATTTGCAATGGCCTACACCTAATAGGCTTGCAATATTTGTTGACTAATTTCAAAAATGGCTAGAATGGATAGTTGGAATAGTCTTATAGTCTGATGAATATTTCCATGTTGCTCTCTAAAAAGATGAGACAAAGTTACCACTAGTGATGTATTTATGTACCTTTTTTCATATCAAATTTGGTTCATCAGGTAATTCTTTCACTGTGGCAAACCACTCAGATATCATACTTCCTTTTTACTTCGATTCTCACTAAACTATGTGGCATAGGTTTAATTTAATTTCTTGTAACTTCTTGAGTAAAAGAAGTGTCTTTTTAAACTTTGTTTGAATTGTAAGTACAGGGCCCTTACTTAGTGTTTGCGCCTAACTACTCATTGCCCTGTTTTGTTCTTAATTCAGGGCAGTCTGTCTTTTACTACTGCATTTCACTAAATTATTTCTTACCGAGATATCCCATAGTCTGTTACAGGGCCGATCTAGTGGGAGCAGTCAGGACTGCCTTTCCTCGTCTCTCTGCTGTGTTCATTGTGGTGGATCATTTTCTCCTTCCTCAGACTTTTTTTTTTAATTTCAGTAACACCCTCCCTGTCCTATGTCTCTCCTGATTCTCTTACTCTGCTCCAGGGTGAGGTTCCTCTTGGTGCCCTGTGCTTGGTGATCCGCCGTGGACCACCTCCTTCCTCTTCCACTTTTGTTTACATTCTTCCTAGTCAATATTCTAAGTGTTAGTTTTCATTCCCTGTATTCTTGTACCTTCCCAATACATTTTTCTCCTCTATTTTCTTCTATTTCAGGCATATTTGGTGATTGTAATAGCCTCCTCTGGACCTTCATGCCTGCTCTTTGACCTTTTTTATGCATCTACTCTCATACCAAAATGACCTTTTCTAAAATAACGTCTGATTGTGTTTCTTTCTTCTTGCAATCCTCAACATTACCCAAGACCTGGGGAACCAAACTGGTCTCCTGAATGTTGCATCATAACGACCTGGAGAATTTATGAAGATCAAGCTTCAGAATCAGCATCATTAAGAACTGGCTGGGTTATTCCAGTCCAGCCAAATGTTAGACCAGATTATAGGATAGATTCCAAATGCTTTTGCCCTCTACACAGGGCTGCACCCAGCCACTCATTCTCTTCTCTGCTTGCATCGTCAGCCATTCTTACACCTCGTAACTTCTTCAGCCATCCCATTGCCAGCCTCACTGTGCCCTCTCATTGCTCTGTGTACTTTGGACATACTCAGTTCTCATCTTGAACCCCCTTTTTTACCTGTAACCACATACTTTATTATGATGTGTCAGTTTAAGTCCCACCTGTCCTGTTCCTGTACACAGGTAGGTGCAGTTCTGTTTCTTTGAGCATCTTCATTTTTTTGTCCATTCGTTCCCTATGTTGAAGTATTGATGTCACATTTTATTTATTTATGTTTTGCCCCCTACTAAATTCTTTGAGTGCAGAGATCTTTTTACACTAGTGCTGAGCATAGTGCCTGACATATAGTTTGAATAAACGTATGTCAAAGTGAATTTCAGATAAATAGATAAGCGTAGGTATATCAGTTCAACAGAATGTATCCACAAAACAGTACATTGAAAATCATCATAGAAATTATCAAGCTCAATGAAAAATAGTCAGAAAGTGAGCTCCTACTGCTATATAGCCTTAGGCTTTGTTTTGCTAATATACTGTCTGTAACCAATCTGACAACCTAAGGGAAATGACGTAAGTCAGAATTTGAAAAATTAATGTACATTCGATTTCTAGGCTGGTGAATCAGAGACTTCTGGAAGTACAGTCACAAGTTGAAGAACTGCAGAAATCTTTACAGGATCAAGGATCAAAGGCAGAAGATGTAAGTTTTAATTTGTACCAACCACGGTCCAGCAGTCCCACAATGTTAACAAAGCCTATGCACTTTGGGTTTTTTTTACTGGTGTCCTCTATCACGGTGGTTTATAACTGTACTGCTTATAGGAAGGAAAGTGTTTTCCTCTTACTAGCATTCCGTATTAAAAGAGCCAGATGGCATTTTATCTCTTTCAGATTTACTCTGCTGGGAATCAGAAGTTCATTTGTAGTCATCACCTAAGAAATTAATTGACCTTAATGTTCTACAAGTGCTCAACTCAGTATTCAAAGTATAGGGTTTTCTCTGTGGTCAAAAAAAATGCTGGTAGAAAGCACGTTCAAGTAAAAATTTTTGATGTGAAATTGATATTTAAGAAAAATGTCATCCCTAGAATCACATCATCTCTAAATTCTGAGTCCCTCTTGCTACCCTTAATAACACACTCACATGTAAGTTCCCTGACCTTTTTAAATATTTCCTTAGTGCTCGGTGCGTCTGTCATAACCCTGCCTGCTGGATCGGCACGCCGAAATTGAGCGTATCGCACGTATGTGAGCTAGCACCTCCTCACTGTGGCACGGTGCTCATGTAGCGTGGCGTGGGCAGTCAACGCAAATGATCAAAGTGCCAGGGAATCATATTGTGCCAATTCCTTATATATAATGCGCAGTATACAATAGAGCTGTGACTAAAGTGCTGGAAAATGATGTAAAGAAGTGGGGAACCCGAAATTTTAGTGACCGATCTTTGCTACCGCCAGTTGGGTTTTGATTTGTTGTTTCCCATTGCCAGTGCAGTTTGCTATAAACTCTGGCTTCGAGTATAAGCCTGTTCGGTCGCTCCCATTGGTAGAGTCATTTTGGGGGTCAGCATCAACATTAGATATGTCCCATGTAATCGGCTGTGTGAACACAAGAGGTTGTAAGGACAGGAGGAGTCACAGGAGGGAGAGTTAAACTAGTACAGTATTTAAAACGCCAGAATATTGGCTGTAAAAGCTCACTAGTGACCTAATTGGAGGAGTTTCATTAGATTTATGACCTTGTATTGGCAGCATGCCCTTGTTTGCAGTGGTTGGGTTCATTCTTAATGGACGTGTTGATGGTGCTTAGACTCCCAGGTTGAGTACCACTTCCTGAAATTGTCACCAGCACTTAAACTACCTTGCTCCCCATTAAAGGGGAACCGGTTTGAAGTGTCATGGTTTACTTTTAACACGTGCTTTTATCCAGAATGCCAAATCATAAGAGAGATGAAGCAAAACCATGTGTGTATTAAAATGTTCAATATTAATAAGCCTAACTAAGAGTGTCTTAGAGATGAGCCAGAGTGGCTAACATTTCTTAGTTCAGTGAAATCTCTAGGTCTCTCACACAGAGGGAAATGTAAACTTAATATTGGCCTTTGAAAGTTTGACAGCTTTTTTGTTGATTTGTTGTGGTTGAGAGGAGATGGGCCCGTGGTACATGGAAAGGTACATAGAAAGTAAAACCAGTGAAACAGCAGTGCCAGCTCAGCCTCAGTGCTGTAGCAATAACCTTTGTGCTTGATTCTCTTACACTGAAAGATACCTAAAGAAATTTATGCTGTAAAAGATAATTTTGCATAGCCTGGTTAAGTATTACTGTGGTAATCAAATCTAGTTAAATATGCTGTTTGCCATTACTTTAAGAGAACGCATTTCAGAAGTGAAATGCAAGTTCTATAAAGCACGATTTGCCCAGATTGGTTTGTTTATTTGACTGCCCAGCTGCCCATGAGACGTCTTGCTCTAAACTCTTAGAAATTCCCCCAGATCTGTTCTACATGTAGGAGGACTCAGGTAGAAACGTTCCCCGTTCCCACGATAGCCCTCACAATGGGCTGGAGAGGTGGGGGGGCGCAGGCTGTGTGGCTCTCCCCTCGGCAGACGTTTGACCTTCCTGTGCTCTCCTCCACCGACCCACCGTGCTGCGTCCCAGGAATGTGTAACTCCCGGAATAACCTGCCAGATGGAATTGGTCCCCTCTGAAGAACAGCAAAATTTCTACTTATTTCTGTTACCCAAAGCACAGTCCTTTCAGTAACCTTAAGTTAGAGTAGGATGGTTTGCACATTTTTATTATTATTTTTATGTCATTTATTTTTAGCATGGAAGCAGAAAAGCATTGTTATATCCAGTCACATGGATAATTTGAGCTAGCCACAGTGTATAAAACTCCAGAGAACAAGACAGGATGAGGAGACCATAGAAGAAAGAAAAATGTATATTTTTGAAAAAATGCATATCTTTTACTTCTGTTCATGAATTACTAAATCGTTCCTTCTGTTGGCTGCTGTGTTTGCTTCATACTAATATGTCCTCTCTGTCTCTTGGCATGGTTTCTGCTCAAGGCTATTGTAAGTATGGCTTCCTATTCATTTCTATATATTGAGCAATTTTATTACTTATATATTTATTATCTGCCGTCATAGTTGATAGTATTAAAATTTTAAATTATGGAAATTTCATGCAAAATGAACACACCAGTACAACTTGCCTCTAGAGGTTTGTGCACTTCACGGGTGAGATACTTAGAGGCTATCTGCGCCTTGAAAACTGCTGACTTGCACCCCGCCGTCACCGTCTTCAACCCTCAGATGGGCTAACAGTGCCCGGTGTTGCGGGGTTAACGTGCAACAACATATCTGACATGCTTTCGCACAGTGCCTGGCACATTAACCACTCATTAAACCATTATTTTACTATGTGTTATCTCAGTTAAAATTAATTTTGCAGAGCCTAATCAAAACATAAGTGCAAAATTAAAAGTATTTAGAAAGTATTTTCATTTTACCTGGCGTGCTAAAGAAGGAACAAGCATAATTGGAAGTTAATGGGGTTATTACCTTTTTTTATATTTGGGGGGAAGCGGTGACAGAGGTCCTGGTGGTCCACTGATCTGGCTGTAGCTAACATACTGAGCAAAGAAATGAATTTGGAATATTCCAGATCTGTGTTAGAGTGGACATGAATAAATAATAGTTATGGTAATCATTATCAAATAGGGTGAGGGAAAATCGAAGAACTTAGTGTGTGGAGTTTTTTCTCCTCAGCACTGCTATTGATTAATTTGTTTATTAATAAGCCTATTTGGGTTTGATGGAATTACCTAATTTGGTCAAATTAGTAGGATTCACTAATTATATGTACCTTACAGGTGTTAAGTTCGGCTGTGAAACCTAGTGGTCCTCTATAGGTGCCACTGTTCTTTATGATTTTTTTAGGTCACTTCTCATCTCCTTTTTAGGAGACTTTTTTTGTTAAATACCAGTTGAAGCTGCATTTTCTAGCATATTCAGTTCTGTGTAGTATACAAGCCTTCCTATTCCTATACCATCCTATAAATTATTTGTAACCTGTGCATATTTGTAAATTGCTAATTAAGTCATCAGTACTTAAGGAAATTGATTCCAGACTTCATCATGAAGCGAGGAAAACAGTTTAAAAAGTGGCTTATGGAAAGCCTGTTATGACTAGCATTCTGCCTGCCTCCAGAGCCCAAGGATATTAGCTGTGTATGTAAGTGGCTTTTTTAGTTCATTTCCCGGACTATAAATAGAGAATTCAGGTGTACAGTTTCTGGGTATTTTATAGTGATTGCTGTCACTTATAGGTTGCTCTCTCCCTCATCAAAGTCACATAAATTTGGGTACATTGGGTGTATTGAGCTGTTTGACCAAAGAAATTACTGAGGGCTCACTCAGAGTTAGTTACCACTATGCTCTTAATTTTTAGAAAATAATCATTAATAATAAAAATGTTAATAAATTATTTTTATTTTCTATTTTCAGTCAGTTCTTCTAAAAAAGAAACTTGAAGAACATCTGTAAGTATAAAAGCCATTGAGGTTCACTCTCCTGTTATGTGGTGAAACATAAATGTTTTACATTAGGTGGTTACAGAGTGTCCAGGCAATGACTTGAGTGTCCCTTGAAGATGTAGAACATTATAAAACATATATTAATAGTGTCCAAAGGGCTGTCTCCACCCAGGACTGTCACATCAAAGTAACAGCTGCTTTAGAGCTGCTTTCAAATGAGATGAATGGGTTTTATTACTTCGTGACTTACAACCCCAATTAGGAGTTTGAGACACTCTGGATCAGGAGTCAGAAACCTTTTTTTGTAAAGGGCCAAATAATAGTTACTTTAGATTTTGCAAGACATGGTCTTTGTCACAGTACCTTGGCGCTGTAGTTGTAGCTTGAAGGCAGCCTTAGATAATATGTAAACTAATGTTGTTAGCCTGTTCCAATAAAACTTTATATAAAAACACAGGCAGCAGGCTGAATTTGGCCCACTAGTGATAATTTGCCAGCTCTGGAGTATGGCCAGCCGGATGTTCGTTTTTAAGTAAAAACAATTTTTTTCCCTCACCGGAGGACATGCTTACTGAATTTTAGAGGGAAGGGAAGGGGGGAGGGGAGAGGGAAACATTGATGTGAGAGAAACATCAGTTGGTTTGCCTCTCACAGGTGCCCACACCAGGGACCAAACCCACAGCCTAGGCGTGTCCTGCTTGAACCCACAACCTTTTGGGTTTACAGGACTTTTGTGTGTTTTATAACAAGTGTTATAAAGCTTATCAATAGCAGATTATTAAACATTTCCTTAAATTACAGGCATATCTGAACATGACTTTTTAATCTAAATAATGGAATAAATTTCAAAATATTCTGTTTTGTCATGAAAAAGAAATTTTCATCCCTCTCTATCTTTAGCTGAGGTTGACAAGTTAGGATTGTTCATGACTTTTCTTGCAGCCAGTAACAAATTTAATCCTTCCTATCACTTTCTAGCAAGACTCTCCTTGTGAGCCTCAGTACAGAGTGGCTGCGAATTGCCAGCCTGTTAGCATGTTATAATGTTACACTAAGTAAACCAGGCATTCAGGAGATAAGTTTGACTTACTCTACTGAGATTGGACAAAAATTCTGTAGTTTGGCAGTGTGCCTCATCCTTGTTTTCTTTTTTTTAATGTGGGGAAGGTGAGATACTCCATGCAACTAACACTTGCGGGCAAGTCTAGCAGTGGGCAGATTTTTAATGTATTAGAACAGAGAATGTTACCTCCCAGCCATTGTCAGGTTATATAGCGTCAAGATTGCTGAATGCTGAATGTTGTCCTTTCTTCATTTCCCAATCCTTCATTGGAAAAAAATAGAATACCTGTTGTTTCATAGAACTATGGTCTGACCATTTTTTGTGTTCAGTCATTGTTCAGTCATTGACATGGTAAAATCATCAAAAAATTTATTAGTCATGAAGCCTGTATTCATTTCTTGTGATTGTTCTACTTCCACAAATTAGGTGGCTAAAAACAATAGAATTTTATTCTCTAATAGAAGTCTGAAGTCACAGCATCAGTAGGATTGGTTCCCTCTGTAGGGACAGTCTGTTCCAGGCCCCTCTCCTAGCTTCTGCCGGCTGCCAGCAGCCCTCGGCAGCCCTTAACTTGTAGATGCGTCTCTCCAGTCTCTGTCTTCATTTTCATGTGGCAGTCTTCTCTCTGGATGGCTATGTCTTCTTATGCCTCTCAATGACACCAGTCATTGGATTCAGGGCCCACCTTGATCCAGTATGACTTCATTTTAACTAATTACGTTTGCAAAGACCCTGTTTCCCAGATGCCACATACATAGGCACCAAGGATTAGGACTTCATCATGTCTTTGCGGGAGTCACAGGGCCCATGGACATCTTAAAGATGGTCGGTCTTACACAAACCTAAAACAACAATGGAGACCGTTTTACACACACCAGACTGGTAAAGTTGAAGAATCCGACAGACCAAGTATTGGCAAAGACGCTGAGCGGTGGTGATTTCCATCCACTGCTGGTCACGGTGTACAGCGGTTTTCTGATTGAACCAGGAAGGACATGCACACATCCTGCGACCCACAGTTCCACTCTCCTGTCTGCACCCTCGATCGGTGGCCTTCAGCCTTCCTCATCTCACGGCACACGGAAACTAATGACTAAGCTTCTGTGGCACACCCCAAAATATATTTTTTGCCGATCTGACAAAAAAATCAGTAAAACTGATTCGTTTTAAAAAATAATGATGGTAATAACTATTTTTAGGACTATAAGACGCACCTAGGTTTTAGAGGGGGAAATTTTTTTGAAGCAAAAAATGTGGTAAAATGTTTAATAACCTGTGACCCTGCTCCACCGCCCCCCTCCCCCACCCCCACAGCGAGCCAGGTAAGTTACATTCAGAATATAAGATGCACCCCCCTTTTCTCCCAAGTTTGGGGGGAGTGGGTCTTATAGTCCAAAAAATACAGTGCCTACTTTTTTGCTCCAGGGTGACTTAAAAAATCAGGTGCCTATACTTGCATATAAGGATGTCTGGTACCAAAAACTAACCAATCAGATGCAGCCTTATTATGCAACCTGTCCTGTAAGGCCTAACTCTGTTATATGACTAAAAGTTATTGTTGTGTTGGCTGCTGTCATTTTTTTATTTGACAGTCTAAGGGAAAAGAGGTCAGTGCCCCTGACTACATAGTCAGGTATTGCATATTTTAAAATTCTGGCAGCTACCAGTAGAAAATCATTGCCCTGGATACCTAGCGATGCAGTTGTCCATGTGTACCAGGAGACATGTGGAGGAAGGTGTGGAAGAATGTTGTTCATCATAACAGAAAGTAAAAACAGTACAAACACCCCTAGTTATAAAATGATGGATAGAATGAGGTGGTGTATGCAAACAAAAGAACACTATATTGCAATAAAAGATATACAACATAAAAATGACCATTTAAAATTCGGTAGAGACAGGCAAACCAGGGCTAACACAACACAGATTCCTCTCAAGAGCGTAATGTTAAGTAAAAGGTGGATGCCACAGAATTATACATACAGTGTAAGTAAAGAATAAATTAAAAGTTGGGCTAAATTAAGCAATGCATTGTTTAGGACTACAAAGACCTCTCACAAAAATCATTAGAATGATTGAAATTTTGAATTTTGGTTACCTCTGGGAAGGAGGATGGGGACACACGGTTCTTAGATAATTTGTTTCTTAATTTGTTTCTTCACTGAGCTTAGTTTTTCTTGTTCTTTGTATCAATTTATTTGTGTGTGTGTGTGTGCATGTATGGGGCAAAAGTAGTTTTACAGTTGTTCATATGGAAAATAATACAAGTAGAGAATAAATAATAACAAGAATAAAGTCTGTGTTTTGTGTACTCCTGTAAATCTTTTACCCCACTTTGTATGCATGTATGTATGTATGTGCCATACCTTCAAGAAATTGTTGAAAAAGAAATGATTTATTTCTGTATTGTGCGTTGAAAAGACTAGAAATGAAGAAAACAAAGTACTCTATTTTCTGTTTTTCTTTATTTTGGCAGCCTTTTTTTTTTTCTTATCACAGAACGCCATGCTAAATAGTACATAGGGAGAAATACACATATATAAATACCAGGGGAAAACTTTCAGTTAATTTATTTTTTTATATTTCTATTGGAATATAACTTAAATACAGTAAAGTACTTATATATCCTAATTCCTGACTGTACAAACACCTCGATGAACGTTTTCCTACAGACATAGGTAGCCCAGATTAACATAGAGAATATTTCCAGCAACCCACCAGGATTTTCCGTCCTCCCTTCTCACTGATTGGTTACCTCCCCAAGTAGCCCCTGTGCTGCTCTCACTTTTCACTGGTTTTGTCACTTTCTGAACTTCATGTAAATGTGATCGTTCTGTATTGCCCTCTTGTGTCTGACTTCTGTGTTCAACATTCTGTATTATTGCTCCATGTGGTTGCATGTTATCCTCCTTTTTTGCAGCCCAGGCATGTGCCCTGACTGGGAATGAAACTGGTGCGAACCTTGGTTTGCAGGCTGGCGTTCAGTCCACTGAGCCACACCAGCCAGGGCTGTATCCTTCTTTTCCGTTGGCCTAGTATTCTTTCTGTTCTTATTTTTAGAATTTCATCTCTTCGCAATAAGATTTTGCATTGTAAACCTCTGCAAAGTTTTCAACTTAATTTTTACAGTGCCCTTATTCCTAGTCGAGTTCTTTGTGCCTTCTTGTGCAGGTTTATGTAAAAGAAGTGACTGCTTCGGACTCTCAGATTTTGTCTCTATTTTCTAACTTATTTTTAAAAATCTATTAAATTTATGTTGAATTAGTCTTTTCATCTTTGTTTTATAGCATTCTGTGTTATGCAAATATATTCCAAAAATAAAAAATGTACCTTTTTCACTTGAAGTGGAGAAAGATGCGTAATGGCAGCAGGTGACATGATGTGTATATTTGGTTACAGAGAGAAGCTGCACGAAGCCAATAATGAATTGCAGAAGAAGAGAGCCATTATTGAAGATCTTGAACCCAGATTTAACAACAGCTGTGAGTTTTTTCTAATTAGCATGGTTTTAAATTGGTTAGTCTGACATTATCCTAATGATAAGTTTACATAAAATTGCTTATTTTAGAAATAGGCCCTATTACATATTCTAGCCATTAAAGGATTTGTTTTGCCCTATTTATAAAAAGTATATAATCATCTTCACAATATTTCTTAAATTTCTAATTATAGTTGTATTTTTCCTTAACAATGGATGCTAATGAATATTTTATGAAATTATTTTCATAGTGTAGTTGAATGCTAAGTCAGTCAGACTTTTACTTCTCTTGAAGTTTTCACACGTAAAATGTGTGAATTAATAACTTCATTAACTCTTTTGTGTGGAAGTTGGAGCAAGACACAGACTTTTATCGTTTTATTGCAGTAAAATACAGACAACATAAAAACGACCATGTAAACCACTTTAGGCGCACAGTGCAGTGGCAGTAAGTTCGTTCATGTCGTGCAGCCACATGCAGTCACTCAGCTGCCCAGTGCAGTGGGGCAGCTCCTGCCACCCCCAGAACTGCCTCGCCTTCCCAGGCTGAAGCTCTGTGCCCCCAGCCACTGTTCGCCTCCAGTGCGCGTTCTGTCTCTGCCAGTTTGACTGTTTTAGTTATTTCCCTTCGTGTAAGGAGGAACAGAGAATATTTGTCCTCTCATGTCTGGCTTATTTCACTTAGCATCATGTATTTCATTTTTACTTCCTATAATGTCTCCGTTTTGTAGCATGCCTCAGAATGAAGGCTGAGTAACATTTGATCTCATGTACATACCACCTTTGTGTATCCATCCATCCATCGGGGGGAATTTTAATTTAAGCATTTTCACATTGGCGTTTTTCACATAAGAAAAGGTTTTATAAAAATTATGAATTATTTTTAAAAAAAGAATTATAGGAATAAATCAGTCTCTCAAAACTATTAACTACTTACTATTGAAATATTTTTAAAGTTGCAATCTAAAAAAATTGGTTTTTACTGTCTCATCTGCAGCCTTAAAAATTGAAGAATTACAGGAAGCTCTACGGAAGAAAGAAGAGGAAATGAAGCAAATGGAAGAGCGCTATAAGAAGTACTTAGAGAAAGCTAAAAGTGTGAGTGTGCATTTGTGGGCATCTCACTTCGCTCTCCGACCATGTTCCACTGACTCCTCATGCAGAGAATCAGAAGAACAACTACCAGGAAGAAAATGAACCTTTATGTAGGAAATAAGTGGCAGTCACCACCTTAACTACTAATCAAAATGACCTGCAACTAATTGTAGGACAGCCAACATCTTGTGCCTTTTGATGCGGTATCATTGCCAATAATATTTAACCTGAATCTAAACAGTCTTCCAGATCTAATTTTCAGTTCCCAGGGAAAATGAGGTTATCGTAATAAGTTAAATAACACTTTCAGGAAATCATCAGATAAATGCAGAGTCTGTGTCATGAAAAAGAAATAGGCGTGGCCTGGCTGGGTAGCTCAGTGGATTGAGCATGGGCCTGTGAAGCAAAGGGTTGCTGGTTCGATTCCCAGTCAGGGCACATGCCTGGGTTGCAGGCTAGGTCCCCAGTAGGGGACACATGAGAGGCAACCACACATTAATATTTCTCTCCCACTCTTTCTCCTTCCCTTCCCCTCTCTCTAAAAATAAATAAATAAAATATTTTTTAAAAAAAGAAATAGGCGTTAGAGTGTGGGCAGGAAGGGGGACACAGGAGACTGCTGTAACTTTTAAAAGCCCAGAGGGATCTAAGGACCAAATGTAATACATTAATCTTTGGATCCTGGATTGGGAAAGAGAAATCAAATGTGGAAGTACAGCAATTGGTGAATCTGTATTAAAGGAAATGGGTTTTTATTGTTCTGCCGTATCAAAGTTTTCTGTATGTTTGGGTATTTTTGGAAGTAGAAGTATTGGCCATAAAGCAAAACACCTTTCCCTGAAGGCCTCCTGGTGGCCAGCGAGAACTGCATCAGGCACCCACGCATAAACCGAGCCACTGGCAGGAGAGGTGGGCTTTTAAGCAGGATGACAGGCTTTTCAACCATCAGGACCCTCCCTCTTACTAAGTACGTGTCCACTCAGAGGCAGAGGGCTAGCTGACCCGGATCAGAGGACAGGGACGGGGCCCCCAGCTGTCAGGAGTGTTCGCTGCAGTGGAATGTGTCCATTTCAAGTGGCAGTGACTTCTTGTACTTGATTCTTTTCCATAATTAAAAAGGTTACAATAATCGAATATTTCATACATTCAAATTTTAAAGTATCCTTATAAATTTCATTTTCATAAGGTTTATCTTTCATTTTTTTCAAAAATAAGTGCTTCCTTAGATGTTGCATTCTTTCCGTTTGAAACTTAGAATTTTTCTCTTGTTAATTTTCACAGGTCATCCGCACTTTAGATCCTAAACAGAATCAAGGAGCTGCGCCAGAAATACAAGCTCTGAAAAACCAGCTTCAGGAACGGGACCGGCAGTTTCATTCATTAGAGGTAGTTCACTGTACTATACAGGAGGGTGTTTGGTTTTTTATTCTTTTTCCTAGAAGACTTGATATATGCTGTTGCCTCCACTTATTTAGAGAGTTAATTGTGAGTATTTTACTGATATGGAATTGTTTTTTATCTTTACATGTTTCTATGTGTTTGTTTCTTAGAAAGAATATGAGAAAACAAAGAGTCAACGAGAGATGGAGGAGAAATACATCGTCAGTGCCTGGTACAACATGGTAAGGCAGTGGCACTTCAAAACACTGCAGGGTTCAGCGAGTGTATAATGTTTGCTACACGCCTCTACTGTAGAAGTAATTCTGCCAGTGGATCTGAAAGTAATTGCTCTCCTAACACGCACTAACAGAATCTTAATGCTGACCTCAGGACTGGAAAGCAGAAAGAACCACCATCCACAGGGTTAGGGCATTGTAAACACATCATTATCCCTAGAGAATAGAAAGATAAATGACAGTCTGATTGCTCTCTCTCAGAACCATTTTGTGTAGGGGAAAGGGACTTTGATAATATCTAAATACTGATGTAGTTGCTTTTGTGAGGCTATTTCAGTATCTTTGCAGGAGTGGTACTTACACTGAGTTTAGTTTAGATGTCTCATAGGGTTTGGAAAATGTTTATGGTTGCTAGACCCTGAACAACTGGAGGTTTTGACATTGGATTTTTCAGCACGTGCGCACGTGCACACACACACACAGTTTTAAAGTATTGCAGGGGAAGATAAATGCTCATCAATATTCTGGGCTTCAATAAGATTTTAGGAGTATGAATAGCTGTGGGTTTTGAAGAATGTTGTACTCGTTTCCTAAACTTTTTGTCTTCTTTTTCATCTTTGTTCTTTTTCCCAGTAAGACCACTTCTGCCTTTTCAGAGTGTTAGTTGCGTGATAAAGGAAATTAAACCAGATTCCTTTCTTCAACCCTTTTTGACCTTATAGTTGTGTTGCTGGCACAATACCATTGTTTCCATTTTGCAGTTACAATTGATACTGTGTCTTAAAGGTTAGTGCCCAGGCCTCCTAATTATGTGATGTGATCTTTGTCAGAAATTTACACAATTTCATGTCATGTCTACATTTATATTTGCTTTGGTTAAAACTACATATTTAAGATTTTATCACAGTTTTAAAAAACAAAAGAAAATCATTGGCTTTCAAATACTATTACTGTTAACAAATACAGGTTTCTCTAGCATTAAAATTAAAAAATGGAGCCCTGGTCAGGTAGCTCAGTTGCTTGGAGTATCATCCTGATACACACCGAGGCTTCCTGTTTGACCCCTGGGGTCAGGGTCAAACCATTGACTGCAACAGTAAGTGGGATAGCTCCCTCACTGGTGCACGTGCTCTCTCTCTTTTTCTCTTGCCCCCTTCCCCTCCTCTCTAAAGCCAATAAATTTAAAAAAATTTTAACAGGGAAAAAACTAAGGAACTAATCTTGACTCCGCTTATTCTGTTTGTTCTTTATCCTTCTTAAAGTTAGCACTAGCTGTCTTGGAGCTCTGCCCCTCAATCCTTATTGCTACTTTCAAATTCTTGCCTACTTTTGGTGACTTCACAATTACATTTCCAATGGAACTAAATTTATTTATGCTGTGAACAGTATTAAAGAATAGTCCTCATTTTCAGCTCTCCAGAGAGAGAAAGAATAACACTGAGTATAGACTCAGACAAGTTATGTTCAGATAAGATAGCCAGTAACAGCTTCACACATACATGCAGACAGCTCTGCATCTCATTCACCTGAGATGAAGATGACAAGTGCTGGGAAAGGTATTAAGTGTCTCAGAGAACGGCCTTGTGATGGATACTGAGGTCTTGAAAGTGTGTGAAGAATTTGAATACATTGCTTGAAATGTGAAAGTGAAAAATAGTATATTTTATTTTTATTTTTTAAGTTTTATTTAAAAATAGTATATTTTAAGTAAAATGTAATTGTTAATATGTATAACCAAATTAATAAATAAAGATTGCCAATAGATATTTGCCAATTGTATTCAGATCCTTAAATGCTTTGATTTCAAATTGAGTGAAAAAGCTGTTCTGGATTTTCATATAGGCAGAATGGAGGAATGTGTGAATGTATTTAGGTATATATGATGGACTGCAATTCTATTAAAAAACGCAAAGCCATGACTACTGGTTTTCCTAGACGCTAACTACTGATAGGAAGGCTTATGTCTTAGTCTTCTGTTTGCTGTGCTAGTTTGTCCAGTGCATTCTGGGAAGGCCGTGTGTCTTTTCACACAGCCTGGCTTTCCACCTGACTCTCCTCCTGGCTCCCAGCAGCTCGTTTCTTCCTTGTTGCCTTCCACTGTCTCCCATCAGTTTACTTGTCTCCAGTCACTGGTGAGATTAAACAGCCACTCTCAGTGCTTACTTAATGTTTGTCCAGTGAGGGCTCTTCACTGGCTCATTAAATGAGTACCAAAACCACTTTTTTCCTCATCCGCTGATAGCCTGACCATTGTGGTTAGTCCTCCGTGTTTAGAGAGTGCGCCCCAGAGGTTACTTCCCTCCTGTTAAGGTGCTCTGGGCCCTGCAGTTGTGGCTCCTCTCCCTTCTAAGCTAGAAGACCATCCTCCAGTCTTTGGGAAAGACCCCCTGCTCCCTACTGGGCCCTCTGTTTTGGGCTGGCAGGAACTTTTCTTAATTTGTTTGAGATTACAAGTCCGCCTGAAGTGAAGAAAAGCAGCATCATGGTATGTATGATACCTAGTGTGCCCTTCCACCTTAAGAAACAGCAAATGTACTTGTGGTTTTCCATTCTAAATATGCCCTGTGATTTCCACTACCAATCCCTTGTGAATCATCTGCTACCAATCAATTGCACTTTTTCTTCCTTGGAAAATCACTTCATACTTTGATTTGAAAGGGAAGTGTGTATGATTGAGGATGGGTACTGTATTCCAAAAATCTGTCTCTGTTATCTGTTGTTTTGGTTATTGTCAATTCAGAAATTAAACCTTAATTTTTCCAAAGGAAGATGTGTACCTAATTGTTGGAATTGAAATGTCAATAAAACTTTAATCTGTAATGAGCAGAATTAACATTCCTAATTGTGCCTTATGATGCAAAGATGATGAAAATTCTGCATGATGAAATTGTCTGTGTGAGAATATGTTTGTTCCACTATTTTTTAATTGATTACCTTTTTTTTCTGTGTGATACAGGGAATGACTCTGCATAAAAAGGCAGCTGAAGACAGACTTGCTAGTACAGGTTCAGGGCAGTCATTTCTGGCCAGGCAAAGACAAGCAACCAGCACAAGAAGGTCTTACCCTGGCCATGTTCAACCAGCCACAGCAAGGTAGACAAGTCTTGCTATTAGAACAAAAAACACCCTGCATTCAAACATACTTCTGTTATCCATAACACCATTTCAGGAAATTCAGCCAGCTAATTTTTTTTCTGTGTTATGTTAATTACTCATTTCTCATATGAGGACTTTCTCTCTGTATCTATAATGTTTTAGTTTCTTGGTCCTTTATTTTGTAGTCTTTTCAGTTTCTTTTAATGTGCCAAAAAATTTTTAAATGCCCAATTAAAAGTGTTGTGTAACAGTGTAGTACATTTCTTTGTATGAAAACGTCCTTTCCCCAATGGTGTAAGCTTTGTAATGAATTAGATTTTCTGCCAATAATTGATATACAATTTATATTCTTTGTTGTGCCTCTGTGTTACCATGCTTTACAAGAATGTCTTTGTTTAAAGGGAATTAATCTTTATATGATGTATTAATCTGTGTTTTTGATTGTTTTCCAAATGCACTTCAAGTAACTTGCATATTTACTATATAAAATGAATGGTTGGCAAGTGCACTTTTTGCAAAGACATAAATACATCGGCAGAGGTGCTAAGTAGACCTTACTGAGGGCACCTGATAGAGTTATTTAGAGGGAAAAAATTAGTTTTCACGTTGTTTTATAGGAAATTAAATTTGTTCGAAGATTTGGAAACTATTTTTAAAACATAAATACATAGAATTTTATTATTTCCTGCTATCTTGTTACTGGCAGAAGTGAATGCATTGGTTAGGTTATTTAGGGGGTAAATTACAGAAGAGAAAAAAAATCAGGCAGTGCATTAGTTTTTCCTTGTTTTGGAATATCACAGTACCTGAGAATCAAATTCTGGCAGTGTGGCTGGTACTCATAGTCTCAGTTGACCTCCACATCTCAGAGACCTAGTCTTCATATGCTTACAAGTAATAGGTAGCAGGACCTTCAGAGCCACTTGCTTTTTGACTTGCATCTCAATTGTTTTACTTACTTGTTACTATAAGTACTTCTATTTCTCAATATTTCCTAATATTACTTAACATCTTAATATCAGTCATTGAGATCAATAAGTGACTTCTTACATGTGATGTCGTGATAGGTCTCTTTTACATTTTTTCTTAATTCTATGTATTAGTCCAAGAATTTGCTACTGAACAGATTCTCTTAGGTATTTGTTTGCATCAGGATGCTTAGATATGTTGATTGTAAACCATGTTTACTTACATTGATGAATGGTTGTCGAGTAATAATGATTGTAAAGCACTTTGACTATATAAGGTGCTATATAAATGTAAAATATCATTTATTTGAAAATGAAATGCCTCTGCCTGACTTTACATGTTGAGTTAAATATTTGGGCCCTATTTGTATTTAAGTTTCCCTCCAGCCTTTTTCTTGCACCCTGTAGCCCATTTTGTTAAAAAGCAAAACATTACTTAAATTAGATCAATTTTTGTTTGTTTTTGTTTTTAGATAGGTCATCCAATAAGAGGATTTTATTTCATTTCACTTGCTGTTTAGAAGTTCAGGTTTCATTTAGTTTTGTATATTAAATATAAATTAGTAACTTTAAATCAAGCTAAATGTAATTGAGAATTTTCAGAAACTATATTCATATGTTTGATTTTAAATTCTTCCATTTTTATAAGAAAATTGACCTAAAAATAAGGAATGTTTTCATTTGTCCTCAGAAGTCAGACTTGAAGGAAGTATTAGAATATACACAGAAATTACTTCATGCCTTGTGCTAATTTTACATTAAGAACAGAAATCTAAGCGCAGTGTGAGTGCTTCTGCCTGAAATGACCGTAAAGCAGGAGGAATTAGTAATAATGGAGAGAACCATGTGAGCAGAGTGCATTGTGGGGTTTCAGGAGGCTAAGCAGACCTAATCAACATAGAAAATTTTGACAATAAGGGAGCAAAAACCATTTAGGGCAGTTCTTACTCCCAGCCCTCATTTCACAAATAGCATTAGAAGCCAACTGTTTTAAAACAGTGTGAACACTAACCTTGGTAAAATTCAAATAATTGGGAAATTTTACCCACACAGTAAGGTAGATGAACAGAAGAGTCTATGAACTATTTATTAAAAGGTTAGTGTCCCATAAGATAAGATAAGAGGTTTTAATTTTACTTCTTAAATATTTGCTGCCCGGTCCTGGTCTCCAGCCCACCCAGCAGCCCAGATGCACTTCTCTAATGGGTTGGAGAGGTGCCGTCCTTTTAGAAGGAAGTTTTCCTTATGCTGCTTCTTCAGCATCCGTTGCATGCTATTATTTTGGTATTTTACATTCATAACTTTCACTGTCCTTTACCTTTAAAGTTTAGTACGTTACTTTCATTATATAGAAGAAATTATATTACTAACATTCTATGATGTTTTTTTTTAAAAAGACAGGAATAAAACTTAGCTCTAACGGTGACAACTCTGTTTCCCTTGTCCAGCTTTGGGGAGGATTTATGAAATTTCTCTTTCTTCTGTAATGATTAATAATTTCCCAGAAAGTGTGTGATGCCGCACGGTCTGCAGGAAGGTCACGGGCAACGAGCCGCGAGCTGTGCTGCACTTTCACAAACTCCTTAGACACAGGTGCTTCAGGGCACGGTGGGCTGGGGCAGCGGAGCCAGGCCCGGCCTCCTCCCAGGAGGGAGTGCGGTGCTACCGCTGCATTGGGCCCAGGTGATCCATCAGCCCGGTGCCCAGGTTCCTATAAACAGAAAGCGTTTTTGCTGTTTTCCTTCCAACCAGGGTAAGGAAATAACAAAGTGAATAACTAAGGAATAGTAAAGCATAACATTTGTGTTCTGCAGTGTATATCTAAGAAGTTCATAATGGGGAAAACCAGCAAATATTGTAGTTTACCACATCTAAAAAGAGAATAAATAATACAGTTCTGCTTAACAGAACTTCCAAAATTTCAGTCATATCTTTTTATAGTTTGCCTAATCACTTGTTAATAACCAAGAAAAAGAAGTCCCTAAATAAAGGACCCATGTTCCAAAATTGATCAAGATTTATTTCTATTAGATAGCCCTAGCCTAGTGAAATTGGCTTAATGGGATACTTAGATTGTAAAAGGAAGCATTGCCTGTAATGTCATTGAGGTTTTATTATTTTGTTTGTATAATAAAAGCTCAATTGCACAAAATTAAGCTAAATGTTGTCTAGCCAGAGACATAAGCCTATATATAATTCATTAGTTTTTGCAAAGGTATGAAAATTCATGCTGTCCAAATAGATCAGCAATAATTTGTAAGCGGAAGCCAAGTTGTAGACATTTGATTTGTGCTCCAGTTTGCTCACATCTCCTTGTCAAGAACAGTTCTGTCCAGTCTTACTGACTGATGACATGAGCTCTTTCTTAGTGTCTCCTGCGCTCAGGTGGGCGTCATCTTTAAAGATGGCCATGTTAAAAACCTGAAAACCTTTACCCTAATATAAGAGTTATCTTAAAACAAAATTATAAGTTTTGAAATTACCTTAACTCTCTGCATTCAATCTCCAGTTGTCCAGCTCTCAGACTTCAGGAATGTTACAATTGTCCTCAGTTGGAACATGTGAGTTTTATCTGAATCCCCAACCTACAGGTGTAGTACAAAGCCAGCTAGATCACAGACACGTGGATCAGAACACCTGTGACCCTGCAGGGACAGCCAAGGACCTGGCGTCTTGCTTTTGCTAAGGGCAAAATAACAACATTAAGACAAAATTTTGTTGTTGTTGTTGTGTGTCCATTAAACTGTGGAAGGATATTTTGACTTTTTAGCCTTGTGTTATGAAGGGAACCTTTCCCTAGAAAGGCTGTGGAACTGAGTGATGTAGCTTTGAACTTCTTACCAGCGAAGCCTGTGTGGTACCCCGAAGTAGGATGAAAGATTGCACTCAACAGAAGTAAATGGGGTACCAGAAATTTCTAAAATCACTTTAGCGTGTTTTTTATTTTTCCCTTTTTGTAAGATAAAAGGGTTTTCCATTCAGTGGTGATCGTCTCTCTTGCTGCGGTTCCCACTGGCAGCGGGCAGCTGGTGGCGGTGGTGGTACAGCCCAGCTCCATCACGTGGAGAGAGCAGTGTCAGCCTGTTCTCTGCCGCTGGACTGATGGCACTATTTTATATCATGAGTTTTGAATGAGGAAGGCTGTTCTCGATGTATCTGCCACCCAAGTTTTTACTTTCTATAAAGCCTATTTAAATAATAAGTGGTGTAAGTTCCTTTCATTGAAACTTTCGAGATGGTTTTATTATCTAATTTGAGCACAATGATTTTAGGGTCTAAAGTTTCGCAGGAAATATTTATTTCTCAGAAGCCTAAAAAACAGGACAGAATTTGTTACTAATGTAGCTAATTTGTACCCTTCCCCTGTCGCTTCCATCATGAAAGCCTAAGTATTTAGCTTCCTTTTTATATAGTGAGGGACAGCGCAGGTGTGGTGACATCATTTCCTTCACTCACATGTATTATCTTTTTAATGTAAACACTTAGGAAACTTGTATTTAAATACACTTGAGTTTTTTACATTGCACTTAAAATGATAGAGAAGGGACATTAGTTATTGAAAAACTAGAGGCCCAAACCTAGTTACGGCAAGTATATGAAGTTTCCTAACAATTATCTATCAGCAATTATGTTATGTCTCTTTTCAGTATTTTTCTGTTTTTCTAACATTTGTGAACAATATTCTGTAAGATAAGTTTGTGTGCCATATATGAGCGTAGAAGTCTGAGAAAGTAACAGAACTGCTTCTAAGGCAAGTTCATTTTCAGATGGTAGAGTGGATTATTGGGATGAGACATGGCCTAGTTATAGAACATTTCCAGGCAGATGGAAGTATAATACAATAAAAACTCACACTGTCTTAACAAATGCTCCTAAAGTAATAGCTTATATAAAATTTCTGACTTTATTGTGTGGTTATTCAATAAAAAAGAGTAGACAAAACTATGATTTATTTTCTAATTATCCTTGCCTTCAATGGGCATAAACTGGGCACACCATATTAACTGTGTATATTGTCATTGGAGGGGAAAGCACCTGTGTTCATTTTGAGAAACAGGTGATTTGAGGTCATTAAGAATACTGTGATTTGATGAGACTAGACTTTGGGGCTGAAAATCGCTACCAACTTCCTTCCAGTTACCTTGATCTGCTGCTTTAGCCAGTTCATTAACCATAGGCTCAAATTTACGCCCCCCTTGATGATACATAGTAGCCCCACAGAAATATTTGTTTAAAGTGAAGGCAAAAATACGCAGTTTAAAAATACATACTCAAGGAGAGCCCTTAAGTACCTGATACATTTTCCCCAGGCTCTGAAGGAGATGTTTAGGATCTGAAGATGAAGTCATCAGAGAGGGTGTCCATGGCCTCAAAGGTTTAGGCTCCTGGGGCTGTCAAACATCCTGCATTATATCCACTCAGAGCTTAAAGGAAAAGTTAAATGTCCTGGGAAGAACAATCTCAAAGTGAGAGAAGCAAAACTACCGAAGCATGCTGAGGCTTTAATGATGTACAGGGGAAACGTCTGAGCTAGCATTATCGTCTTGGAGATTTCTAAATTGACAAAATAATTTAGTTTAGTGTCTGTATTGTGAAATTAATAGAAGGTGTTTATTCTTGGTGTACTTGTTAACCTATGGTCAGTGATTACTGTATGTACATTCTGTCTTGTTTATTTTGTATATGCCACTATTAGAATTGAGTCTTAATATTACTGTTCTAATCATTTATGTATTATTTATATTTCACTGCAAGATTCACAGCACTTTACTAATATTAGATGATTATTTTCTTTAACTTCCTGTGGCATGTTTTATTTCTCTTTCCCAGTGGGGTTCTTTTCCTTATTTTGGAACATTCACTAAGAAAAATGTAAAAGATTGCCCAAATAAATGGGCTTTTTGTACTCTTCCTGAAATTTTTAAAGTCAGATCTGAAGTTCTAAGTCTGGAGATCTATTTGAAGTTGGGTTGTAAGCATGAATTACATTTTATATTTCACAATCAAACTCTTATATAAGTTAATAACTAATGAAACGAAGTTCTCTCACATAAACCCCCTTCGAATGTTGTTTTCTGGAGTTGGAGCAGTAGAATGTAAATAATCTTCTGGTGAATCAGAAGATGTTTTTACCTTTGATTTTCCTGTTGCCTAGAATACACCCCTACACACTGTCCTTACCATTTGTAGTTTCTTCATCATTGCATATACCCAAAGGCAGGAGAAAGAAAGCCAAGTTCCATGAGCTACTAAGGCAGAGAATCTGGAAAGTGGTTGGGGGTGGGGTGATGGGAAAGGCTGACCCCAAAGATGGCAGAACAGTACAGAAGAATTCTTAGTTTTATTATAACAGATATGCTTTATGAAGCTGGTCATTTTCTTGAGTTCAAATACAGCAAAGTTTTTGGCTTACTAAGGGATGTTTTTAAGATTGAGGACTCTGCCATATGTAACTGGAATATAACAGTATTCAAATCATGGTCAGAAAGTACCAAAATATTTGTTGTTACATAAGCACAGACACATATGATTACTGCCAAACAATAAGAAGATTTGCTCATAAGAATATTCTCCTAGTTTTATATCATTTTGTGTCTTCAGGTGAGAGAAATGTTTTTATAGTGTGAAAAGTTTCTCTAGTCTTTCTCCTGCAGTCCTCCTGTCTTACTGATGGGCTTTGCCTAGGCAGGTCCCAGAAGAGAGCAACATTCAACATGGAAAAGCAGGTCTAGACCCTGACCTTGGAAAGGAGAGCTGCACTTTGTCCTCCCAAAGCAGAAAATTACACACGAGCGCGCGTACACGCGAGGACAAACCGTGTTTTGGATATCCACTAATTAGTAGTTGAGTAGATAGGTTTCCTTCAGATTGTCTTTATCATCCATTGACCTCTTGTTCATCTAGACAAGAGTAGATTTTAGACTTGCCTTGTCCGATTCATTAGCTGCTTGACATGTGACAATTAAAATTAAATTAAAAATTTGGTTCCCCAGTCACCTAGCCACAGTTGAAGTACTTCAGTAACCACACTTGAATATTGGTTACCATATTGGACAGAACAGATTTAGAACATTTTTGTCACTGCAGAAAATGCTTTTCGCCACTGCTGTAATCCCCCAAGGGAAAATAAGGACAAAACAAAGGTGTTCGATTCGTGTAAGATAGCTCTTAGATTTTACTGCAATAGTTGATTTGAATAAAGCTATTTTTCTTATTAAAATTAACTCCGGCCCTTTTAAAAACCTTGGAAAAATCAAAACCCCATTCTTTGACACTAATTTTCAATATATATTTTTAAACAGATTCTCAGCACTTTACTTTTCAAATAACATAATTAAATCATTTCATAAGTCATAACTTAGTATCTTTAAGAGTTTTTGTGTAGTGCTTTAACATTGATGATAGTTTACACTTACTGAGCAGAAACTGGTGAATGCTTATTTATAAGTAAAAATCGATAAACACCATATTCTTCTATTTGGTTACATTTAAATCTATATAGAGCTAATGAAAGTTGCCAACAGTTTTTTTTTCTATCTCTAAGATCATATTTGATTATCTTCCACCTTAAAGGTGCATCATATCCAAATAATTTCTTTGTTTTTCTTCAGTTTCTTGCTCTTAACAAGTTGGATAGTGAATCAAGTTAAATTTAATGTATGAAGCAAACGTTTAATTCCAGTGACTTAGTGAATGAAACATTTTTTAATATTTATTAATTTACTTGGCCTATTACTAATGCACTTAACATAATTAAAAGATCTATACAAATACATTGTTGAGATTTTCCATGAAAATAAGAGACTAATCATAATTCTTTTGAATTTAGTTTGTTACTTAATTAAACTATCCTGTTAGGAATTTATGATGTTTTTCTCTTTTTTAAAAGAAATTTTATCAAGCAACAGACTTGTTCCAGTAGTATCAAATTCTAAGCAAATTATGATGAAACTCTTATTGTCATTCAGGTTCAGATCAGTAAATGGTGTAATTTGAGTTTTTTTATTTGCTTGGTGGCCTAATTTACTGTGTTCTACACAGACTCATGGGAAATTTTCAATATGCTTGAAATAAATAGCATTTTAATATAAACACAGGAAATGACTGTACATAAATACCAATCAGTGATTTGAGGCCTTCCCATCTTTCAGTGGTAGCCTTTTGTTTTTTAAGAGCCTTAGTTATTTAAAATTCAGAAGCACCAAATGTCACTGCTGTCACTGACTTTTTTGCTTCCTGGTTATTTGTAATTCAGAATGCTTTGTACTCAGAAGAGTCATTTTCAGGTTTATCTTGTTTTGCCATGTTCATGCCTTGACCATTTGCCCTGCTATTTATAACACCCAATTTTTGGTTGTATGATGAGTGGTAAAACTCAAACATAACTAATAATTTGCCTTATTTTGATTAATAAGTTCTGTCGAAGATTTGGGGCAGTAAGAGGCTTCCCCCCCTACAGTATTTTTTAAACTTTTCCAATGAGCTAGAAAACACCTTAGTATGTTAAGAGGTGGAGTTGTATCAATTACGGCCCCAGCTCACAGCCTTATACTCATGTCTTAAGTATCTATTGTTCTGTGAATTGCTGTTAGTTCCACATTTGACACTGTAGTGACCCACCAAAGTGTAGCCTTTGCAAAAAGTATGTTGTTAGGTATATTCTTATTTCTGATTGACTGTTGATAATTTCACATTTCATTCTTTGTCATTGTAATCCAAAAATGAAATCCACATAGGACTCGAAATTTCTCATTTACAAGAGGAGTCAGTACAAATTTAGCAACGTTGGCATCCAGGCATGTTTCCATGCTTACCAAGTTTACCAGCCATTTACTGTGTGTTAGATTGGTGGATTTTCTGTTTTTCTGAGGTGAATGAGTTGGTAGGGAACCTCAGTAAGAAAGTTTTACTAAAGTTACAAAAATATAAAGTCCAAGAAATCACCAGAATATTTTTAATTTCTTTGAAATCTTATATTGTATTTCCTTTTGATATCACTTATTCATTTTAATTTTATGACTGCCAACTTGTTATGGTATTAATTATATGTATATCTTTATATGTATGCATATATTATATGTATATGAAGAATAAAGTTAAGATTTGGTCAAATTATATTTTCCCATTCAAGTACAAAAATGTTTTCAAGGCTGCAAAAAAGTGTACAGTTGTTAAACAAGTTGTAAATAAAGACTTGTATAAAAATTCATCTGAGTTTTTTTCTCCTTTAAACCATGACAGAGCTCTGGCTAGTGTGGCTCAGTGGATTGAGTGCTAGCCTGAGAACCAAAGAGTCACTGGTTCAATTCCCAGTCAGGGCACATTCCTGGGTTGCGGGCCAGGCCCCCAGTAGGGAGGTGCTTGGGAGGCAACCACATGTTGATGTTTCTTTCCCTCTTTCTCCACGCCCCCCCAGCCTCTTCTCTCTAAAAATAAATAAATAAAATCTTTTTAAAAAATCAACCATCACAGACACATTAATTGTCCAGCAGTGTTCATCCACTGGCCTTTGGCACTTGACGTAGTGTCCTGTCAATTTAAAGATTATGCCCTGGCTGGTGTGGTTCAGTGGACTGAGCAACAGACTGCAAACCAAAGGGCACCAGTTCGATTACCTCAGAGTCAGGGCACATGTCTGGGTTGCGGGCCAGGTCCCCAGTAGGGGACGTGCAAGGGGAAACCACACACTAATGTTCCTTCCCTCTCTCTCCCTTCCCCTCTCTCTAAAAATAAATAAATAACACCTTTTAAAAAAGATTATACCACTGATTTAGTGTAAGTCAGGAATATTCTGAGTTTTTTTTCTATAGTACTCATGATAGTTTCTGTCTTGATTGAGGCTGGCACTTAATGTTTGTAAACTGATTGTCCGAAGTTCTTAGGGGGGAAAAGTTAATCATGGCTTCTCCCCTCTTAGAGTTCTGTTGATATGATCAACCTCACCACAGACTGTACAGCAAGAACGAGTGGCAGAGTATTTACTTTGTTCAACAACATGAAGTATTACTGTTAGCATTCCGTTTAAACAGTAAGTGGCCTTTTCCTTCCTTGTAGACCCTTACAGATCACCATGTTCCCTCCCCACCATAAACATTATCGAAATACTCGAAATACGGCATCTTCAGTGTTATGTAAAGTGGTGGTAGCAGTGTGGAAATTGATTACATTTACATTAAAATAATCAGCTAAAGAATTCAAAAGTGAACTCAGCACCAAGATACTAGTATACACATAGCTCCTTAGAATGTCAAAAAGAAAAAGATGTATATAAGTTTGTTTATATATATACACACACACAAGCATGGAGGTAACCATATTAAGTTTAGTGTTTATTTTCCCGAGTATTTAATATTGAAGCACATGAGGAAAGTAAGTTGAACCACAAAAATTAAACCAAAAAATGCCTTTGCCTTTAAAAATTTGCGATTAAATGGGACACAACACAGAAAAGTTTTCAAATAGAAGTAGCCCAGATGAAGATCTACAAGTTTGCTACTGTTCTGGTTATTGCTACATCACAAACCACTCCAAAACTTAACTGCTTTAAATGGAATGCTACTGCTCTCAGGCCCGGAGGCAAGCTGGGTTGCTCTCAGCTGGGGTCCCTCGTTCAGCTGCAGTTAGGTGATGTCCCAGGCTAGGGTCATCGGGAGGCTGTCCTCTCACACACTGGGAACCCAGACTGATGTGGACAGAACCAGTATTACATGACATGTGATAGGGTCTTCTTTAAGAAAACGAGAAAAAAAAAAGAAAAATATGAGCAATAAAATGACAATAAATGCCTATCAAGCAACAATGGAATCTAAAAATCGAACAAGCAGAACGGAAACAGGCTCATAGATGACAGAACATTTTGATGGCTGCCAGGTAGGAGCAGGGTTGGGCGAGTGGGTGAAAAAGGTGAGGGGATTAAATAGTATTGCCCTGGCCGGTGTGGTTCAGTGGGTTGAGAGCTGGCCTGTGAACCAAAAGGTCACGGTTTGATTCTCACTCAGGACACGTGCCTGGGTCACAGCCAAGTCCCCAGTTGGGGGCCTGCAAAAGGCAGACAATCGATGTTTCTCTCACACACTGATGTTTCTCTCACACACTGATGTTTCTCTTTCTCCCTCTCTCTCTAAAAATAACATCTTTTTTTAAAAAAGCAAAAAATTGGTCATTACAGAATAATCACGGGGAATATAGTCAATAATATTCTTTGTATATAATTTTTCGTTTAATTATTGTTCAAGTACAGTTTTCTGTCTTTAGTCAATAATATTCTAATAACTATGGTGAACAGATGGATGCAAGATTTCTTGGGATGATTACATAGTAAGTGATGTATTGTCTAATCACTGGGGTGTACACCTGAATCTAATATAATAATGTATGTCAAATGTAATTGAAAAATAAAAACTGATTTAAAAAAATAACTAGCATTAGTCAGCATGAGGAGAAGTTGGAGCTCTTGTGTAGCAGCTGCAGAAAAGAGTTCCTCAAAAAAGTGAAACAAAATTACCATATGATCAAGCAACCCCACTTCTGGGCATATACCCAAGGGAAGTGAAAGCAGGGACTCTTAACATATTTCATCATTCACAACAGCGAAGAGCTGAAGACCAGTTTCCATTAATAAATGTGGGCTATACATACAATGGGATATTATTTAGCCTTAAAAGAAAAGGAAATTCTGACAATTCTATAACATGGATGAACCTGGAGGGCATTATGCAAGGTGAAAAAAACCAGTTACAAAAGGACAAATCTGTATGATTCCATTTTTACAAGGTACCCAGCAGCATTAAATTCAGAGAGACAACGTACAATAGTGATTACCAGGACCAGGAGGAAGAAGGGAATGGGGAGTTTTAATGGGGACAGAGTTCCACTTTGTGAAGATGAAGATGGATGGTGGAGATGGGCAGTAGCAATGGTTGCACAACAATGTAATGTAGTTAATGCCACTGAACTGTACACTGAAACAAAGCTAAAAAGATAAACGTTATGACTTGCCACAATAAAAATTCAATCCCGAATTCTTACCATTGTCCTTGGCTTCCCCTTTAACCTCACCTACCAATTCCCTCTCCTCACTCACAGGGCTTCAGTTCTTGAGATGCTTGCTTAACCCCAAACACTCTAAGCATACATTTTCTTTCTCCTTTTGGGTCTCTGCTCAAATGGTTCCCGCAAAAGTCTTCCTGACTACCGTAGAGCAGGGGTCGCCAACCCTGGGACCGTGGACTGGTACAGGTCTCCTTCCTATTGGGAAGCAGGCGGCAGCACAGCAGGAGGTGAACTGCGGGCTGGCAAAGCTTCATTCATAGTATTTGTAGCCGCTCCCCATCGCTCGCGTTACCGCCTGCGCTCTGCCTCCCGCCCGCATTAGATATTCACAGGAGAGCAAACCCCACAGTGAACTGTGCCAGTGAGGGATCTGGGCTTCGTGCTCCTTAGGAGAATCTAAAGCTCGAAGATCTCATGTGAAGCTGAGGTGGTAATGCTAGCACTGGGGGGTGGCTGCAAAGGACGAGTTATCACTAGCAGAGAGGTTTGACTGCACAGAGACCATAATAAATCAGATGCTTGCAGACTCATATCAAAACCCTATTGGTAAATGGCAAATGACAATTCAGCTGCATCTGGTGGCAGGCTATAAAGCCATCCACTCCCACCCCCAGTCCATGGAAAAATTGTCTTCCACAAAACCAATCCCTGGTGCCAAAAAGGTTGGGGACCGCTGCTGTAGAGGGTAAAAAATAACTTTGCCTCTACCTTCCTGAGTTCATGGTTGAGCTCCCTGTAATAAAAGGCAGATTAACAAGAGAAAAACAAATGGGTTTATCACATGTACACTTCATATGTGCCTGGGAGAGACCTAGGGAAAAATCAGTCATTCCCTGAGGTTGCTTAGAATTCAAGCTTAACTGTTATACCATCTTAATAGGAAAGGGTGGGGGTGCAATGCAGGCCTCTTAGGGGAGAGTAATTTTCAGGACAGAAGAATGAACCCTTAGAAGAACTGCTAGGAGACCTGAGAGTTTGTGACAAAGTTTGCCTGGATGTGGTGTCCACTTCTACTTTCAAAGCTCCTGGGGAGGGGATTTATGACAAGTTTCTTTTGGAGGATGTGTCTTCAGGCAAATAAGGAGGGGGAGAGATCGGCACTCAGAAAATAGCTTGTCCGAGCTTTTGCTGTTTTGCAAGTGCCTACAGCTCAAATATGCCAAAGCACTTTATTCTGGAGCGGCACACCCTGAACACCTACAGACATATATTAGGGTGGTATATACCACCCTTCACCAGAATGTAAACTTCATGACCACAGAGGCTTTATGTATACATCCACATATTACTTCTATATCAGAACTTTTAATTTCAAAAAACAAAACCCCCAAATTACTTAAGTTCTGAGATATAAACTCTTAGCATAAAAAAAAAAAAACCGTGCACGAGGAACGTAAAGGTCCTTACAAAGTTGAGGCCAGTTCCCTGGATATGTAGGTGTGACTGGGTGTTGAGCTGTAGGCAAGCGGCTCTTATCCCTGGCTCCTAAGACTCCGAACAAAACGAGAGGAGAGCCATCTCCCCTACTGAGGGGATCTAAGCAAGTCCCCAGTGGCCAACTACAGGCAATGGGAAGACCAACATATGCAAAGACAGATAGAAAATCTGCAACCCTTAAGGGCAGTGGCGCAGTCTCGCCCGAAAAAAAGGACCCAAATCAGTTGACCGTGAATAAGGCGCCCGCCCGGGACGCTCTAGGCCGCACCTCTATGGTAGGAAAGCGAGAGAAGCGGAAGTAGGGCGCGTGAGGCGGGGCGGGGAAAGGGAGGGGCGGGGCCGCGGAGGGGCGGGGCCTCCGCCGCCAACTCGGCTGCGGACCGGTGCGAGATGGCGGCCACTGAGGGGGTTGGTGAGGCTACGCAAGGCGGCGAGCCGGGTCAGCCGGAGCCGCCGCCGCCCCAGCCACAACCTCCGCCGCCCCAGCAGCAGCAAGAAGTGATGGCAGCCGAGGCCGGAGAAGCGGTGGCATCCCCTATGGATGACGGGTTCCTGAGCCTGGACTCACCTACCTATGTTCTGTACAGGTAACTCCCACGGCAGGGCCGCGGGTTAGGAATCCCTGCCCTCGAAGTCGGGGGCTTTCCCTGGTCTGCGGTTCTCGGGCGGCTCCTTGTGCCTAGCCTTGCCCCGCTGAAGTTTCCGAGGCCTCGCTGTCCG